AACAAACAAGACCCGCCCTGTAAAACACTCCACAAGACACGCGGCCTCTGCCCGATCAAGAACTGCTGAGGAGATCGTCCAGTCACGGTCTATGTCCCTCATTGCAACGAGAACCTGAAACCAGGACTTGTACTTGGCCTTAGATGGTGCCATGGGGCCACCCTTGCTTGTCAACCTGATTGAGAAGCGGAAGCAATGTCAAATGAAAACGTAGTGGGTTTTCACAGGGCATTAATGACTGTGCTGTTTTTTGGTGGCGGTTTTGCTGACGAGCCAGGAGCAAAAGTAAAATGCGGAACAGGCTCATAGACCCCTCGCTTGGCGATTGTCGGCTCGTTGAGCAGGTCTGCTGCTGTTTGTGGGACTTGGTCATCAGTGACTTGGCAGCACCTATCAAAAGCAATCTCCTCCTGGAGTCTGAACCACTCATCCTGAGACATGTTGCGGACCCACTCCTCACATATTTCTTGTTTCAGTTGCATCGTTCGGCCAGATTGGTATGGTCCGTGATTTGTGTGGCTCATCAATGTTGCTTTTAGCAATGTCCCTTGCATTGAAGAATGCTTGATGCTGGATTTGGTATTATTCCAAGCAGGATGTGCGTACTCCGGCTCCAGCAAAATTCTGGAATGAAGGTTGTAGGCCAAAATGTTCATGGCTTTGCACTGAAGAGCTTCCTCATCCGGTGCCTGGGCAGAAGGCAAAACCACCCAAACTGCACAGCTGATGTTTCTACCATCCAAATTGGAAAGCATTTTCACCCTTGATTGGCGCTCAAGGCAAGTGTTTTTTGCCAAGTCTCACATGTGAGGTGGGGTCGGTCTTGAACACTGGGCGGGTCCAGAACAATTGGCTCCCCTGGGAGCAAGGGGGTCGCAGGAAGGAACTTCTCCAAACCCCACCCGAAGATGTAGAGAAGCGAGGCCTGCAATCCTCTGATGAGAGCCTGAGCTGCCCATCATTTTTTGTTGGGGATCTACACTTGTGGACTTGTTGTTTGGCTCCTTTGCCGAGGCACCACGGTGGCCAATTTTGTTGTTAGAGACAAAACAACACAACGGTCTAGGTGTGAAGCCAGGCACTGCTACGCCATGAACTGCCTTGAGTGTCTTCGGGATAGTGGCAAAGGCGGCCAAGTCATCATTTGCTGAAGACCTGTCAATCCATCAAAGGGGGGGTCAAGAATCAGGGGGCCAGTTCAAATTGCCAACTTGGCCATCTTGTTCAAACTAATTTCACGGGGTGACACGCAAGCCCCAGCTAGAGGCTCTATGCGAATCACCAAGGCACGGCTGCTGCAGGTCAGCAACACTGCCCATGAAGGACGGGAGCACCTCAGTGGGTTTGTTTCTGGCAATTCGTTTAACGCTTGAAAATGGGTGTGATTGATGCTCTGCGTTGGGAGAGGACTTTTCCTCTGGCAGCGCTGTGAAGAACCTGGACACTGTGGCACAGTGCCTGCCCAGTCGCTTGGCAGAGAAATGGGTCCAGGTCAGGCTGGTGGCCAATTCCCCAACATGTTTTTACAGAAATGGGTGTGAACAGAATCTCTTTTCTCAGCAGCCACACTGACCCATGTGCTGGTGCACAAGTCTACAACAGAATGATGACCATGGCCATGCACGAGCCACATGTTGTGAAAACGGTCAAGTACAATCGTGCTGCAACTTCCAGCAGTCAACAGGGCTACTGTTTGTTTGCTTCTTTGTGAAAACAGGAACCACGACCGTGCTTCACATGGTCTCAAGTCAAAACCCCGGCCAGCAGGTCGGCCGCGTCAGGCTGGCATGGTGATCGGAGTCTGGCAACAGCATACTTGGTGTTTTTGGAGTTTTCAACCACAAACACACTACGGTAAGGTTTGCAGGCTGATGCCCCCAGAACAAGGTTGCCAGTCCCTTTACAAGTCCATTCTCAAATTGAAAGGGTGGTCAGGCCCCATGGTCGGCTTTTTGGAATCAAGAATTTCCAAGCACTGGCAAAGAACCCCACCACAACACAACTACAGGTGTAAAAAGAATTATTTGTTGAGGAAAAAAACAAGGGTTGCAAAATGCTAAATGTGCATTTTGGGTGCTTAAAGAAGGTTAAAGTAGATTAAACTCTGCTAAAGGAGGTTAAAAGGAGGTTAAAAGAGGATAAAGTAGGCTAAAGTAGGCTAAAGTAGGCTAAGTGTTTTGCAGTAACGCCCCCCCTTTTTTCCAGGGAAAACACGCTTTTTCCAGGGGAAAACTGTGCTGCCAGACAGCCAGCTCCCGAGAAGAAAAGCACAGCTCAAGGTGGGATTTCCACTGGCACAAGCTTGGGCTTGGGCTGTGGGGAGGCTGCCTTTGCCTTGGCCTTCAGGGCCATCTCAGGCGCGGCGGTGGTTGATTCGGAGCTGGTGCCCTGATTTTCACGGTCTGGCTGCCCCTCAGCTTTCTTGTCACTCTTGGGTGTAGTAGGCTGAGGGGACTTGGGCGCTTGCAAGGCCTTCAATTGCGCACTGTCCACACTTGCGTTGGACAAGGGGGCTTTGAGCGACCTCTGAAAAAGCTTCACCATCCACACAGAGGGCCCCTCATTTGTCTTGCTGGCTGCGAAAACCTCCCCAAAGTGCTTTCCATCCTGCGATGTTGAAACAGCAGGCAGCTACCCGTCCATCGTGAATCAATGAAACAAGTTCTTTGTCTGTCCTTCTCACAGCGGTGCAGCTTGTAGTTGCGGCCCTCAGCAGGAAGCTGCTGTGTGAGCTTGCCCTTCGGGTGGTCCCACTCAACAGAGTACTGGCCGGTGGTACTGTCCTGGATCAGCTTGAACTCCTTGATGTCCTCCTGCCAGGGCTCTTGACTGTACACGCAACATCGACGAATCAGGGTACCGTTTGCAACAACATGTTTGGGAGCCAGTCCTCGGACGAGGACTCAGCTTCACTTTCACTAGAGTCTGGCATCATGGGGGCGCTGGCCACCTTCTTCTTCTTTTCGGGGGATGCTGCCAGGGCAGGAGTTTCTGGATCCGGGCGCTTGATGTTCTGGGCCGGGTTTGAGGCAGGCAAAGGTACAGGGCGACTTGTGTGGTCCTGGCCATTCTTCTCAGACTTGGCTTGGTCACCTTTCAGGGTTTAGAATAACATCGATCCTTGCAGGGCTGAACTAGGGAAAAAGTCCAAGGATAACGCAAACCACTTGTTGTGATTTGTTTGCCACTGGGCCTCCACCAGACAATTGTGGGACTCGCCCAGCGTTCAATTCACTCAACCACCCTTTGCCACACGTTGCGCAGACTTGGCGGTCCAGGCCGCAGCCGCACACAGGGCGCTGCGCGCCTCCTTCAAGAACAGGGGCAACACCTTGGCAATTGGGCAACCCCCAGCTTGATTGAGAAGTTGCTTCACGAAAGATTTGGGGAAAAAAGGGACTGTAAAGCAAACTTGTTGGCCGCGCCGTGTTGCCCTTCTCGTGAGGCTTCATCCCCGGCAATGGCACGCTGCTGGCGGGCGCTGAGGACTCTGGCTTCTTGGCATCACTGCCGGGCAACGGGAGCGGGACTTTCCGGGTGTTGGATGTGCTGTTGGCTGGGCCTGTCTGGCTACCACTTGGTGTGTCCAAGTATTTTTTCATGAGGTCGATGCAGAAGTGGGAGGCTTTGGTGCCTTCATCATAGATGAAAGGAGTCCCCTCATCAGTGAAGTGGATCTCCTCATGCCATTTTCCCTTGGGCAACCAAATCGAAACCTTTGTGTTGGACAGAATGCGTTCCTCCCCGTTCGGGCCCTTGGTGTCAGGCTTGTGCACAACGAAGCACTGGTGGCGCGAAAGCTCGCGGTCGACCTGGACTACCAGCTCTTTCAGAGTCATCTTGTCCAGCGGCTTGCCCAAACGTTCGTACTCGTCCAACAAGAGTTTTTGCTGCTTCTTGATGTTTCGACTTAGTGCCATGAAAGGGGAAAGGGTTTGACCAGTTGATTGCACAATCAAATGTGGAGGTATTGACTTGTCAAGTGTTCTGCAAAACGATTGAGGCTCAAACTCGTCGAGGGCCATGAAAGGCGACTTCGCGAACAGCCCATAAAGCGCCTTCCTGACGAAGAACTCGGGCAGATTGGTCAAGTAGCTCTGGTTGCACCGGGTGCTGCCAACGCCGCACATAAACTTCTTGAGGTATCCAACCTGGGCGGTAGGCCGCTTCAACCAGTCCGGGGGTGAAACCGTTTTACAGTGTCAATGTAGCATAGGCAACGAAAGCTGAGAGCTTGACTGGCGTTTTCTTCCAAGTTGTGTATCTCGAAGGTATGAGGCCCGAGGTGTTCCCAAAACATTCGCGATTCTTCCTCTTGGACGACTTGGCCTTTCCCTTGTGGGATCGGCCCTTTTTGCTCTTCTTTCGGGATGCAGAAGAGGAGTAGGACTCAACGTCATCAGCAGGCCCCGGCCCAACCACTTGTCCGCCCTCCCACACAGTAAGCTCCCATTGGTGGGATGCGGACATGCCGACCACACAAGCCTAGGAGATCCGACTGATGAGAAGCCACACTTGAACTCAGATGGCGCCTGTCACAGCTACTCACTACTGGCTGACAACTACCCATGCAGTACGACGCTGTCCACTGCAAATCACACAGCCAGAAGGTGTTTTCCATGAAGTGGATGTCTGGACCAACAAGCAAACCCACAGCGGCCAAAGTTTGGCATGATGCTGCGTTGCATGAATTTCTTCGACCCACACTTGTGATTCAGTGATTGAGTCAAAAACTTTAGAGCCTCCGGCTCAGTCCGCCGACATTGTCCTCTCCCTTTTCTCCTTCTTCCTCTCTCCCTTGTCTCCCTGGTGTGTTCTGTCGTCCTCTCTCCCTCCCTCCGCTCCCCATCCTCCCCATCCCCCCAAGCCACTCTCTCCCCAATCTCCCTCTCTCGTATGTATGTATGTATGTATGTATGCATGTATATGTATGTATGTAATGTATGTAATGTATGTATGTATGTATGTATGTATGTATGTATGTATGTATGTATGTATGTATGTATGTATGTATGTATGTATGTATGTATGTATGTATGTATGTATGTATGTATGTATGTATGTATGTATGTATGTATGTATGTATGTATGTAATGTAATGTATGTAATGTAATGTAATGTAATGTAATGTATGTATGTATGTATGTATGTATGTATGTATGTATGTATGTATGTATGTATGTATGTATGTATGTATGTATGTATGTATGTATGTATGTATGTATGTATGTATGTATGTATGTATGTATGTATGTATGTATGTATGTATGTATGTATGTATGTATGTATGTATGTATGTATGTATGTATGTATGTATGTATGTATGTATGTATGTATGTATGTATGTATGTATGTATGTATGTATGTATGTATGTATGTATGTATGTATGTATGTATGTATGTATGTAATGTATGTATGTATGTATGTATGTATGTATGTATGTATGTATGTATGTATGTATGTATGTATGTATGTATGTATGTATGTATGTATGTATGTATGTATGTATGTATGTATGTATGTATGTATGTATGTATGTATGTATGTATGTATGTATGTATGTATGTATGTATGTATGTATGTATGTATGTATGTATGTATGTATGTATGTATGTATGTATGTATGTATGTATGTATGTATGTATGTATGTATGTATGTATGTATGTATGTATGTATGTATGTATGTATGTATGTATGTATGTATGTATGTATGTATGTATGTATGTATGTATGTATGTATGTATGTATGTATGTATGTATGTATGTATGTATGTAATGTATGTAATGTATGTATGTATGTATGTATGTATGTATGTATGTATGTATGTATGTATGTATGTATGTATGTATGTATGTATGTATGTATGTATGTATGTATGTATGTATGTATGTATGTATGTATGTATGTATGTATGTATGTATGTATGTATGTATGTATGTATGTATGTATGTATGTATGTAATGTATGTATGTATGTATGTATGTATGTATGTATGTATGTATGTGTATGTATGTATGTATGTATGTATGTATGTATGTAATGTAATGTAATGTATGTATGTATGTATGTATGTATGTATGTATGTATGTATGTATGTATGTATGTGTATGTATGTATGTAATGTATGTATGTATGTATGTATGTATGTATGTATGTATGTATGTATGTATGTATGTATGTATGTAATGTATGTATGTAATGTAATGTAATGTATGTAATGTAATGTAATGTAATGTAATGTAATGTAATGTAATGTAATGTAATGTAATGTAATGTAATGTAATGTAATGTAATGTAATGTAATGTAATGTAATGTAATGTAATGTAATGTAATGTAATGTAATGTAATGTAATGTGCAATGTAATGTATGTATGTATGTATGTATGTATGTATGTATGTATGTAATGTAATGTAATGTAATGTAATGTAATGTATGTATGTATGTATGTATGTATGTATGTATGTATGTATGTATGTATGTATGTATGTATGTATGTATGTATGTATGTATGTATGTGTATGTATGTATGTATGTAATGTAATGTATAATATGTAATGTAATGTAATGTATGTAATGTAATGTAATGTATGTATGTTGTATGTCTGTATGTATGTATGTATGTATCCTTGCACTTCCCCTTTGCTCCCCAGTATTTCCCGCAAAAAACACGGTTTTTCCAGCGTTTTCGCAAAGAGGATGTCCAAAAACACAGAGTTTTTCCAGATTTTCGGCAAAAGGATGCAGGAAGCCCAAGCCAGCAAAAAAGCCGGCAGGGGGAATCGAGCCTGGGACCCCTGTTTTGCGACACCGGCTCCCCGAAGACTACGTTTAGTGGAACGTCATCAAATTGCCGCGCGGTCCTTGGGGGGGGGGGGCCCCCCCCCCCCCCCCCCCCCTCCCCCCCCCCCACATATCAGACGTCGGGCGGGGGGGGGTTAGGGGGGGGGGTTATCCTCTATCCTCTCTTAAGTGTCCGACACGCCGAGCAATGTCGGCAGACATAGCTGTTCCATGGCTGGAATTTCCCTAGGTTTTTTGGTACTTAGAAGCGAGAACCCAGCAGACTGCAACCAATCACAACATGTGGGGATCGGGAAAATCTATGAGGCAGTGATCCTTCACAGGGCCAAAGCAGCACAACGCTAAAAGCTGCTGCACCCCTGTGTTCAGGAAGTGCATGCTATTCCCTGCCAGGTCAGCGGCCCTCTTGACATCCAAGGCTGGGATGAGTGGGACTTTCATGGCGTTGGCCACCTCCGACACAACTGGCCAACCAAGGCTGGCCAGCCGCTCCTTGCTTGTCAGCCAGCGATGGTGCCTTGGGCTCCAGTAAAGACCTGACTTGGAGTTCTTTCTAAATGTAGGCAGCTTGCCGGACAGGGACCATGTCAAAGAATAGGAAGGGTTGTCACCCAGAAACACGAACATGTCCTCATCAGACTCAATCGGCTTCTGAAACCGAACGAAGTATTCCTGCGCATACTCCTTCACAACTTTTTCTTCTCGGTGTGTGAGCAAGTAGTCCAAGTGCGTGCAGTCAGAAAGCCATTCCTTGTTTCTTGCTCGAGCTCGCTCTTGAGCCTCAAGCAAAACCTCAGTCATGCTAGCAACCAAGTAGTCACTGGGCCGCGTTTGCACCTTGTTGCGGATGCGTCGGTGGACCCTGTGCTGTAGATCATGCGGGTCCTCCAGGGTGAAAGTCCTATCCCTGTGAGCTCCAATCACATAGGTCCGGCTCCTTGCACAACCACTGTGACCAACATCAGCAGGCTCACAGAAGGTTTGGTAGAGGTCATGCTCTGGGTGACAGTCTTGCATCATGCCCATGTCCAGCTCCTCAGCAGCATAGCCCCGAGAAGTTGTTTCTTAGGGAGCTCAACTCTGAAAACAAAAAGAACTACGCAGTTTCAGGGCCAAAGCAAAGCCGTGCCAAATCCTAAGCCAGCAATCTGGAGTGCACTCCACCACGAAAAGCGGCACCCTGTGTTTTTGCACATACTTGCCATGAGTCATGTACACCACATTGGTGCGGCCATCTCGTTTCTGTCGGAGCCCGGCCCGGCTCATATCTTCGCACGGCAGGCCAGACACTCCAAAATCGGCGCTGGGCACCCTGCAAACCGCGCCAAAGCAGGCTGCGCATGGGGCAAACTCCATCAGTTTGCAGCTATTGATTGCTTTCCTTTTGCCTTTGTATGACGAGTGCTCACCCAAGCAGTCTGGAGGGTTCAAGTCCATGATGTTCCCAAACAAATGTGGCTCCTCTTTTTGCAGGGAGCCACGGACAGTGTTGATCCACTCCAGGTTGTCGAAAATGAGCGGGTGGCACTTCTCATTGATCTCCTTAGGCGGGGTAGGGGTAGCAAATAGGGCTGAGCTTTGTGTTGGGGGGGGGGTTTGAGCGGGGGGTCCCAAAGAGGCTTGTTTTTAAATTGCTTCTTCACAATCCCAAACATGAAGAAAGCAAACGATGTGGAGTCGGGGGGATCAAGCATTGCAACTGGGTGACCTCCTGAGTGACGTTGAGCCGGCTTCATCTAAACCCCCTACATGAAAACAAACAAAAGATGTTCACCCTCAAAACCCCCTAACATTTATAGAATGATGTTGAGTCGGGGCAACCCAGTGAAAGATGTTGCGCGGACCCTTTTGGAAAATAGAGGGGCTCAACTTCCCAACCTCAACTTCAAGTGTTCCCCTCGCCATCCCCAACAGGAAAACCACTTCCCACTAAGCGCCTCACCCACAAAGCCACGGTGGATATATCCATGTCAAGGCCGCTGGCGCGAACACAGTTCTGTAAAACTGCTCGAGACATTTCTGCAGTCAGCGCCCCTGTGCACATACTGTAAGATGTTCGGGCCTGTGTCAGAAACGACTCCTGAGGCGCATCAACTTTGAGCCTGAAATCAAGCTGGTTACGAAAAGCCCGTGTCCTGCAGAGGCACCATCCCGACCGACTTCAGCGCGGTGTCCCCGGCGATGTCCAAAGATCTTGATGCTTGGCTCAAGCGTGAAAGCTGTGCCTGTGAGTCCTGGCGTGGCACATTGGCAAAAAGGAAACCCGAAAGAAGAAGAGAACAATGGAACTGACAACGGCAATCCTCGGAGTGCGCAGATGGCTGCGAGAATGCCAAGGCAGTGGACGACTTGCTGCCAGTAGATGACTTGCACATGTCAACGTCATCGGTGGCAGAAGCACCGCCAAAATCCCATAAGTCCATGGCAGCGGAGCGGGACTCACCAGTCAACAAACCATTGTCAGCTATCCGTTTGGGTGGGGACTCACCAAACAAACCATTGTCAGCTATCCGTTTGGGTGGGGAGTCACCAAACAAACCATTGTCAGCTATCCGTTTAGGTGGGAGCTCACTAGTGAACAAACTGTGTCAGCCAACAGTTTGGGTGGAACCTGTTGCAGGCTACTCGAGTGGAACCCTGTTTTAGCTGACTCTATGACCTCGTGCTAGCACAATAGTGACCAGTGATTAGCAGCTTCCCTATGAGCCTTGAGTCAAGACAGGGCGTACATTTTCAAGATTTCCACCAAAGCGCAAGGCGCTGCAATCACTGGCTGCACTGCTCTGAGGACATGCCAGCATGTGTGACTGGCTGAGGAAGGCGCCAGCGGCGGCGAGTGAGTCCCGCAGTTCACCATGGGGCCTGGGACAATTCTCGGGCCAATGGTTGTGGAACTCGGCACGTTCTTGGGCCAGGACAAGTGAAATGATACAGCTCGGTTGGCCGCTTTGCAATCGAAGAGCCATCGAACATGGCCTTGGTTGGGCGCCAACTAAACTCAGGGCAGAACTAGCATGTATGAGGCCAGAGCGTGGACATGGTGGTGTGGGCCCAAGTGCTCCTGCGCGAGGTCCAAGTGTCGCTCCTCAGTGTCAGAACCGAGTGATTTGGTTTCTAGCAAACACTCTGTTATCGCTTCCTGCAAAAAAGGCTCCATATACTGATACGCGCTATGAATACCAGCTTCTTCAGGGTTCTGTCTTTGAGGAAGCACGGCTTGGACTGCTTGTGTCAAGAAGTGCGCCTGCGCAGTAATGTCGCAGGGATTGGGAGTTGGGTGGGCCGGCCTGCGCAAAAAACAGCTTTGAAATGATCTGGAAAAGGTTCATGTGTGTCAGCACAGCTTTGTCACGGCGACGGGATTGGTCGCCCTTCCTGTCTTTGTTTGTCCCGTGGCAGAGTTCCAGCAAGTTGTTGTCCTTGGTTTGGCCGCCCACTTGTCTTCGTGTGGCTTTGTGCGTCTACAGTCTAAATTGCTGTCAGGATTCGATGAACCTAGCAATTTGGCTAATGAAGCGGATAACCATGTCTTTCAGTGGCTTGAGCTGAGAATTCTTGGAGTTCACGATGTCCCTGAGCTTGTCAGACTTCTAAAGCATCAACATTTGCAGCTTCAATGTAGAACCAATGACCACTTAAAGGCCGAGGGGCGGGTCTAGCAAGAAAGTGATGAGCTGCCCCAAATTAGGACTTGTTGCCAAAGAGCAGATGTGCGGTTTTCGCACATCCTTGGCCACCAGCTGGGTTAAGTTTAATGGCACCCTGTCACAGTCTAACAAGTTTGCACTTTCGGTTCAAGTCACATTGGCAGCCCATGTCCAATCCTCTGTGAATTTTGCCATCAAATGGCCGGGTCCCACAATGTAAGAAAGGGCTACACACCCATTTGCAGGGATATCCACATTGAAGGATGTATGTAGACCAACTGGAGAGGTTGTCAATGTAAGCTTTCCAGTTTGCGCGCACCGGTCCACCAAGCGTGCGAATATCTCGGCTGCGGCAGCTCGAAATGATCGATTGCGCTTCGGGGCCCCAAGGCCAAAACAAAGCACTGAAATCATGAGACTTGTCGGCAATGTAGATTCTTGAAAGAACTGGTTCCCCTCCTCAGAGCCACGAAGCTGTAATGGTGTCAGAACTTCAGGGGGGACGAAACCTGGCCATATAAGAGCATGCCACTCCTTCCAGCTGTTGAAGCAGGTTGCCTTCTGCTTTCCTTAGTTTGGATTCGGCTGTGCTTCAAACCTGGTTGGTGGAAAAACGCATTTGAAACGCAGTTGAATACAGGAATCCTTACATTATACACCTGAACATTGCCTTGTAAATGGTGGTTTCATTTTATTTTGGTGGAAAAAGCCATGTTTCAAATGGGCCAAATGTATCTTTTAAGGAGCCCTGGAATACTAGCCAGGAAACGAGCAGTTTGCAAAGCCTTCTTATGATCAAGTTCTCCCCCGCTAGCGTCAGTGGCAGCAACGATGGAGTTCAAAGACCACTCAGATTGCCGCTGTCCATCATTGGAAGCACATGGATAAACGGCCAGCTTCTTCTGCCCCAATGGCACAAAATCTCAGTCCAGCAAATCAGCAATATGAGGGATTCAGTGCGCTCACGCACACAGACACGCGCCACTTTCAGCAAAGGCACGCATGTGCAGGTAAGGCCCCTCATGTTCAGTTGATACAGGCAAAGCTGGCTCCATATCAGAGCATCCCGCTTGGCCAATCAAACGGCTGCATATGGTGGCCAAGATGGTGCACGTGATTTGCAGTAACCCCCCTTGCCCCCCCTCACAACGAACACATGATTCCTGCAGCCTCCATCGAGGCAAATTAACTTTTGCTCGATATATTTTGCTCGTGACAACCGGTTCTAAAATGAATGTACGCTTCAACAAAACTCGCTCGAGTTGTCAGCAATCATGTGCCCGCGGAAGCCATTCCATGTGCCGTGTTTTGGGATTTTCGCTGGTTTGCACTTGTTTGTACTTGTTTGTATTTGTTTGGACTTTGTTGCACCGATTTGCGCTCGTTGTGCATTTTTGTTGGCGCTTAGTTCGCTGATGACTCTTCCCAAACTCGCCTCTGTGAAAGAACATGAAACTACCAAACTTGATTTCTGCTCGAAGCCAAGAAAAATGCTTGAAAGCAATTGTGGGGGAAAAAACGCTACAACATGTCAATTTGTGTATCGAACCAGGGGTAGGCACTTTTTTGTTTGCTACGATGGAGGCTCCAGGTTTGATGAATCCCCGGCCCAAACAACTTGCTGATGCTCAGGGAATGAGAATTGGAATGACCCTTATAAACCATCCCTTGCACATGTGGTTTCCTTTTGTCGGGGGCCAAAGCCTGGGTTCATTCCCACGTTCCCTACCTCTCGCACCAGCAAGACTAAGGGCACCCTTTTTTCCAGGCGGGCATCGAGGAGGCCATTTAGTGGTGACATATCCAATCATTCCATGTTTATCGGACCTTTTCTTGACTGCTATTGGGTTGGATCTTTAGACTTTTACTTTTGGGGATATCAAGGGTTTGTCACTAAACCCCAAAAAGGTGGTCAACTTTTTGCAGGTTGGTCAGCAGCAACCGAGTTTTGATCGACCCGAATTCCACTGAATTCGCTCCGGAGCGAGGTCCCGGCTCCGCAACACGGCGGGGGATGCCCGGGACTTTGCTTTCGAGTACAGCCAGGCGGCCAGGGAGGTTCGAACCGTTTCTCCGGATAGCGGAACCAGGCACCGGTTCCAACCAACCAGGCACCAAGTTGGACCATGGTAAGTGCATTTTGCCAAGGGCTGTTAAGACTTTAACTTTTTGCAAACCAATGGGTTTTCCGTACTAAACCATGAAAAGTTAAGCTTTTAGCAGGGGAGCTGAAAGCAATCGAGTCACGGGTTAAGTTCGGGACTTCCCTAGTTCCCCCGAGTTATGTGCAGTAGGGTATCCACCGTATGGCTGTGTGCCCATTTTGCATGCTTCAGAGGGACACCAAAGGGAAGACAGTTGTCTTTCGCACGCGGGCGAGCTCACCGATACAGCTCACCAAAAGAACAACCATGTGGCTTCCGAAAGATTTTGAGACACACCCCGGGGGGGGGTCACTCTCGCCATTCCAGCCTTTCCAGTTTGCACGTTTGCTTTGCGCAGACGAAGTCAGGTGATGGCACAGAGAAAGGTGGATTCCTGCTCTGCAGGAGCCCTTGAATGGCCTTGCAACCAAAGCAAATCGACCTTGTTACCTTTTGGTTCCCAATTTTTGCCCATTTTTACTAAAGGTGCCACAGGTGAACCTTTGTTTCTGGGTCTTCAAGGGCAACTGAGAAGCACCAGCACCCGGACGGTGCCAGGCAACTTGGATGGTTTTCAGACACCGAACAAGATGCTCAGCAGGTCCTACCTGAGGGAACCCAAGCCTTCAAGCAAGAGGCTTTGGAGACGGACAAGTTTGGGAGGTGATGTTTTTCCCAGCCCAAATGTGGCACAAACAGTTTGGGACTTCTGCGCCGGTCGCCTCATGGCTTGGGAACACACACACACACACACACACACCCAGTGCCAGGACCCCTAACAGAAGACACGGTATGGAGGTCCGGCTGCGCTTCCGGTCGCGACCCAAGCTTGTGCCCCGTTACGCAAGGACCAATTCAGTTCTCTGAGGCTCCATTGTGAAAAGCCAAGTTCTCCTTTGGCTGGTTCCGGACATGTTGGGCCAACTTAAGGGGATGTTCCTCAAGGGTGATGTTTCACGCTCAATTTGTTTGCCTGGATTCTTGCCAACAACCCTCCAAAGCACACCTTCTGAGCATAATTTAGTCCTATGAAAGTTATATCGGTTTGATGGGAGGCCAGTCGTGGTATCTTCTATTTGGTATTGCTTTGTTCTCACTTCGCGTCTCGAGTCAGGCTCAAGCACTTGGCACCTCAGACTGCCCACGAGGGGATATTGCCTTCAACTCAAGGGGGTAGTTTGAGGGTATGGGCCGACGCTTTGTTTGAACATCAAGCCGGGTAGTTCAACACTCCTTGCGACCCATCGACGGGAATCTTGCAGAAGCCCCCAATTGAGGGTCCTCCAAACGGGTGTCTCGTGTTTTTTTGGGAATCTGGCCCCCCCCAAATGGGTGGTTTTCACAGTGGTGCTGACTCAAAAAAAGGGCGCACCCACAACAACCAAAAAGGAGGTACCAACTCAAAAAACGGAGTCGCACCCTTTACAACTGCCAAACAGGAGGTGCCAACACAAAAAAGAAAAAGTTGCACCTAACAATGTCGGCATGTTCTTGGGGTCCAAACTCCAATCCTTCGGACCTTCCAAGCTTTTAGCCTCGCAGGCGGAGGCTCAGCCATTACAGCCGTACCGCACCCGGGCGGGGTCGCCTGAGGCTTTCGGGAGTCGGGGCGAGTCAGGGAGTGAGATGGGCCCCTCGGTGATTTGTACTCCTCCATTTGCTTAAGATTGCCTTTGTTTTTTCCCCCCCTTTTCGGGGCCCCCCCGGTTGGCTTTAAAGGGAATCGATGTCACTACTCAAGGATGTGTTGTATTTTGTCCAGGGGGACTGAAGCAAATGAAGGTACTGGTTGCCGGGGCGGTTCCTACAGCTCCTTAGACTTGTAGACGTGTAGAGTTTTGAGGATTGGTTGGCATGCCTTACTAAAGTCAAGCTTTGACTAGCGGACGTTTGGGTGAGCGCAGTTTGCGGCTGAGCAGAACAATATGTCGGGGACTCTAAAAGCATCCAAAGACTCGGTGGCCAACAAAGACCAGCAAAGTGCCCTACCCCAAGAGCAAATCGAGTTCCCAAGGAGGGTCTCCTCAAATCTGCTGTTCTTTGGGGTGTGCGAGGAAACAAGGCAGAGCGCAAGGGTGCCCAACCTGGGGATTCTGTGTTCCGAAGAGTTCACCCGCAAACTTGTCTCATTTTCGATTTTGCGGAATCCAAACGGAACAAAGGGCCAACCACCCTTTGTTTAAAGGGCTATGTGTTCTTGGGAGGCCAAGCTGAATTTAGTTGATTTTCTCTTGGCTGTGCTCATTAAAGAGCCCAGATACCCGTGGTTGCATCCATCTCAGCTGATGCCTGCCGTGGATTTTGTCCATGGCTTCTGCTCAGCCTCCAGTTGAGAATTTGCTGAGTTGGGTGGTTGGCCATTTGCAGGGCTGCTTTGATTGATATTGGGGAGGTTCTTTTCCGTTGTGCAGTCCCTGTCTCTCCCAACCCTCCCCCGTCCTCGCCTGTTTGCCTAAAATGCAAGCCCTACTCAGGCAGTATTAGTGAAGGTCTTATTTGAATGGACAACCACAGGGGTGTGGATCCTATGAATATTCGATGGCACCTAGATGCACATGGATGCCGGTGCCTCACTGAAGACACATCATGCTGGGTGCTCCTCATATGTGCCATGGTCACAAGACCTGCTTGTTGTGGGTTGGTGGGGTTGGTCGTTGATATCTCTCTTGCTAGACAATATAGACAACCATTGCAAGGCGGATGCCTTTCATGATTGAAACCAGCTAGACTAAGTTCTACGGGAAATTGGACTTCCAAGCACCCAACAATGAATGGCTTTCTGTCTCCTGTAGCTGGCATCTTAGATTGATGCTTTGGCGACCCCGAGCTTTGAACAACCCTCTCCCCGGTTTGCCTCTAAATGGGGGCACCCCAAGACGAGTATTTCCAGTTCAAGCATCCTAAAAAGGGATACCCTTAAGCGGAACCACCCGCAGATATGGGTTACAATCAGCCTTTCTAAGGCCCCACTTACCCTCGCAAAGTTTAGACCACGTTTCAGCCCTTTTATCCCCTCCCATTTACCCAAGCAACCGGATATTCGGACCCTTAACCCTTGGTATGGCGGCAAGCAATTTGGGCTTGTTTCTTGCAGGCCTCCTACCAAAAATGAACCTAAAAATGAGCAGATCCAATAAACAAGTAAAAGACTTGTCAACGTGATCCAACAGCCGTAAAGGACCGCTTCGGCCGTTGGATTCCTGAATGGATTTCTGAGGTTCAGGCTGACTTGGAGCGGGTGGCCAGGACGGGCTTTTAAGGAGAAGCCGTGGAATGAGGAAGCTTAGCACCCTTTCCCAGTGCTTCCAGTTACCACCATTGAGTCGGGTGGCAGACCCATGGTAAATCAGGGAAATCCGTGGGAAACCTGCCTGAAACCCATGGGAAACCGTGGGAAACCCTAAATGGAATTTCAGTGAGTCCAGTTCCGGTTTTGTTCCAGGGGAAAGCAAGGGCACCAAGGGAAGCGCCGTGAATAAGTTCCGAATGGAGAAAGTTTCTGGTTACTTACTCCGGTGGATCCATTTACATTATTTGCCTGGTTTTGTAGGCAACCAAGAGAACCACCCTTTTAAAAGCAATTGCAAAATGGCTGTAAGTGATATGACTGGGTATCCCTTTTCCGCTTGTGACATTTTCGGGGGGAAGCCAAGGGCACCAAAAAATCGGCACCAGGAAATTCAAGGCGAAAGTCGGCAGTGGCCACCTCGCCGTTTTCGGTAGGAGAGGTGGCCGCTGCAACTTCCTGGAGCACCCCTCCTACGTGGCCCGGGCGCCGAGACGCAAGACGCCGCGCATCGCCCGAAGCATCGCCAGAGCGGAGGCAGAGAGGTTGACGCCATCCCAGGCAAGACACTAAAGGCATCCATTTTGCTGAAAGGATTAGTTTTTTTTTTTTTGCCCCTGTTGGTGTTTAGAGGGAATCGATTTCACTACTGGAAGCATTTTTTCCAGGGGGCTTAAGCAAATGGAAGAAGGTAAGCAGCCATTCTTCTTTTGGTTGAAGCGGGGTTCCCTTGACCTAAAGGAATTGGAATTACTGGGTTGGTTGGGTCACGGTCCAGCTTTCGCCGAGGTCCCAAAAGGCGCTTTCCAGGGAATTTTGGATACATGGGAAAAGTTAAAAGGAATGCATTTCACCCGGAAGTAGGGAGCAGCTGCTGCCATCCTGAGAAAACTGGTGGTTTGACGCTTTGTAGTATAATGTCAAGGACTCCCAGCACAACCTGCCATTTTCCTCTTAGTTCTTAACGGGTGCTTCCATTGGTAACCTACACAATTCGGGAAATGGAATCACTGGGGAGCATAAGTCTATGAGTTTAAAACCGGGAATCACCTCCAAAGTGGTTGGTGGGCGTGATTCCCCACTTAAATGATGCCCACCAAACAGTCTCCTAATAAAATTTGCACCCATACACAGAGAAGCTATGGTAAAGCAATTGACGAGAAACCAAGGGTAACCCAGTTCCAAACAAGCCACTATAGGCAAACAGGGTTCCTTACCTCTACGAATTGCATGATGCTGACTTTTCCCTGGTTACCTCCAAAAGTTTCTACAGTGGCAAGTGGAAGAACTGGGTAAGGCAATGTTCGATTTAGGGAAGCGATGGTTTGTGCACAAAACCGCATGCGCCTGGTGCCCTCGGACGGCTCCGGCGGATGTTATTTCAGGCCGGCTCCGTTCTGGTGCTCGTCCTGAACATGGTGGTGGTCACGCTCGAGGCAGATTGGCCAAATTTTCTTTTCTCGGTGTCTGTGTGTGCACTTAGTTGTGAGGTTACCCCCTTTTTGGGGCTGATTTTGAGGGGAAACCAACAGGAGAATAGCTTCTTCCTTTGCTGGAGGGTGGGAGGAAGGGGTCCCCCCATTGCTACATCCCCTTGGCCAAAGATCAAGTCTTCCCAGTGCTTCCAGTGCCTCGCCACGGGCAACCAAAGGCTTCGTGTCGAACAGCTGGTTGGCAGAAGCAGAGATTAGGCCTTTCAACCCAACTAAAAGGAATCTTCATGTTTCGCACGTATATGGCCCTGAATTTTGATAGGGAACCACATCAACAGTGGTTGGTGGACATGCATTCCCCCCCCCCCAAATAAAATGATGTCCGCTAAACGGCCCCCAATCAATAACCATATCAAAAAAAAGGACATGACACGTGATACTGTGGGTGAACGAAATCCTGCACCACCTAGAAACCCTAGAATGATGATTCACCTGTACATACCAACAAACAATGGTTTCTCATGGTTTCCATTTGGTGCAGGATTTCGTCCATCCACAGTATGTAACCAAGATGCTTGGGTCTGAACCCCACCCCCAGTCAAAAGCACAACCCGATGTAACCCTTCGGTTTCCAAATGAGTCATTCGTCAGGTGGCAATTTGGGTCTTGGGGGAAACTGCGGGCTCACATGAGGGTGGATCCTATATGGAAAGCTCACCTGGTGCACCCATGCCGTCGCCGGGATCCCTTCAATCGCGTCGGTGCGGCTTGTTGTCATGCACCCCTACCCTCCCAAAAACTCAGAGTGGGGAGGACAAAACTCCGTTTGAGAGTGACCACATATTTTCCTGAAGAGGAGTCATGTACACGGGAATGTAGGGAACCCTTGCACAACTTGCACCTATCAACTAGAGTTCCCGACCGTTGGTTGCAAAATTGGTAATAATAATAATATTAATAATGATCGTACTAGTAAAACTAGAGGACGATTGGCCCGAAAGCATTTTTCCCCAGGTGCTCATCCAGCCGCGGAGACACCTTTTTACATCGCTGCGGCGAGCGTGTCTGCGCGCGGCGATGCTAAATGTGTATGCTCACATGAGAGCTCCATCTCATCGTCCTACGAGAGGAAACATGGCAGTGCTTGATCCCACATATTATTTACATCCGTTAAAACAAGAAGAGTAAAGCTCGTAAAGCTCGAAACGAATTACAAGAAAAAGGAAAAGCAATCAATAGCAAAGCTTACACGACGGCCACAGTTTCTGCAAAGCACGCTCGCGCAACTTAGCTCTGTGCAAGATGGCTCTGCGCAGCTTGGCTCTGTGAAAGTTGGGTCTACGCAAGCTACTTTTCGCGAGTGGCTCTGCGCAACTGGCTCTGTGCAAGTTGGCGCTGCACGAGTCTGCTCGGCGCAATGTGCTTTGCACGAACTGCGCCGCGCGATTTCTCACGAAAGTGGTCTGCGCAAGCTGCATTGTTCCAGGCTGCTGCGCGCAAGTTGCTCTCTGCAAGCTGCTGCACGCAAGTGCTCTGTGCAAGTTGCTCTGCGCAAGTGCTCTGAGCAAGTTGCTCTGATCAAGTGCTCTGCGCCAGTTGCTCCGTGCAAGCGCTTTGCGCATGTGCTCTGTGCAAGTTGGTCTGTGCAAGTTGCTCTGCGCAAGTGCTAGTTGCTTTGCGCAAGTGCTAGTTGCTTTGCGCAAGTTGCTCTGCGCAAGTGCTGCCGGAGCTGTGGGAATGTACTTCGCGTACTATTTTTGTACTTAAAAGTTGCGAGTCTGCTCCGCGTACTATTTTTGTTCTTAAAAGATGCGATTTTCCAGCCGGAGCTGCGGGAGCACGCTCCGCATGCTACGTTTGTGCTTAAAAGCTGCGATTTTCAAGCCAGAGCTGCCGCGGACCAGGGGGGAATCGAACCCGCGACCGCGGGATTGCGAAAGCAGGCGCGCAAACCACGAGACAACTTCCAAAGGCCATTTCGCGAGCAACAAAATCGCACGGCGCCACAGCGAGGCGCTTCGACACGCACGAAGAAGAATTCGCACGGGGCCACGATCTCCGCACAGGGTTCATCCAGGAATGTCAAAAACGCAAAAACCTCGAGTTTTTGCACCTCGACCACGCCGACCCCCGCAAAGCGCGCAAAAAAACACAAAAAACCTCGAGTTGTTGCACCTCGACCACGCCGATCTCCGCAGAGGGTCGTGCGGGCATATCAAAAAACGCAAAAAACCTTGAGTTTTTGCACCTCGACCACGCCGATCTCCGCAGAGGGTCGCGCGGGCACCGCAAAACACGCCAAAAACTTTGAGTTTTTGCACCTCGACCACGCCGATCCCCGCAGAGGGTCGCATTCCCGATCGTCCGCAACATCCCCACCCCCCGCCTTAAAAGAGATTCTTAATACCGAGCTCTTTCTCTTTCTTTCCCGCGCGTTAAGTACTTAACCTAACTTACTTAACCTAGCTTACACAGCTGCGAGCCTCTACACCTAGCTTAGCTTAGCTCTATAATTGGCTCTATGCACCTGGCTCGATGCACTTCGCTCTTTGCACTTGGCTCTGCGCACTTAGCTCTGTGCACTTGGCTCCTTGCACCTCGCTCTTTGCACTTCGCTCTGAGCACTTGGCTCTATGCGCTTGGCTCTTTGCACTTGGCTCTGCGCAAGTAACTCTATGCTGGTGACTCCATGCTGGTGACTCTGTGCCAATATCTCCATGCTGGTGACTCTGTGCAAGTATCTCCATGCTGGCGTCTCCATGCTGGTGACTCTGTGCAAGTATCTCCATGCTGGTACCTCTGTGCAAGCTACTCTGTGCTAGTAACTCTGCGCGAGTATCTCCATGCTGGGTATCTCCATGCTGGTGACTCTGTGCAAGCTACTCTGCGCAAGTTGACCAAGAGCTCCGCACGGAAGAACCCTTCGCAATGCTTTCGGGAAAAGATACGAATAGTCGTAGTAGTAGTGCTGTAGTAGTAGTAGTAGCAGTAGTAATCGCCGCAGCAGCAGCAGCAGTAGTAGCAGGAGTAGTAGTAGTAATAGTAGTAGTAGTAGTAGTAGTAGTAGTAGTAGTAGTAGTAGTAGTAGTAGTCAAAGGAAGTTTAGAAGGAACTTCCGTGTTACGGCAACTAATTGAAGGCTAGCTCTCTGGGACAAATGACAAGAGAAGGAATAAGCCCGCGAGAAAAAGTGCGCGCTCGTATGGCAGGGGAAGAGAAAGTCGCAAAAAGCGTGGCCCTGTGCGTGAATCGGCATTTTCGAAGATGAGAAAGTCGCAAAAAGCGTGTCCGGAGAAGCGAAAGCTAGCCTGTCCGCGGCGTCTGGTCGGAGCGGTCTCGGAGCGGTGGGTTTGCTCCGAAACTAGGTCCCCCAGCATCGTGCCCTTTCTCACCTTTTTTTTGGGGAGGGTTCCCCTACTAAAATCGACTACCGAGAACAGTTGGCACCCTTATTCTAACCTCCCTACTGGAGGACCTAGGAGAGTCGCCCTCTCGGGGGCAACTTCACTGAGTCCAAGAAACCGATCTGCCGGCCGAGGCTCTTACCTTAGGTTCTCAGAGGGCTGTAAGGGGCAAGGAATCAAACCATAAAACCTCCTGGATACCCACCTTAAAAAAAATGGGTGCCCGTAATCTTACTAACACGATAGGCAAGGAATAACCTTAAAGGAAACCACACAAAATGATGGTGATACAGTAAGCAAGCGTCATTCCCTCATTCCCGGCTGAGCACCAGCAAGGAGTTTACTTTCCAGGCTCGCTTGCCCAGTGTACGGGCCCATATTGTGCTTAGGCATCACGCAACAAACCCTGAAATGATTCGATTACCCTGTAAATACCAACAAACAATGGTTGTCCACGGTTTCCAAGTGGGGCACGATTTCATCCACCCACAGCATGTTTTGAAAGATCAAATGTAATTTCTGTTTGAAGGTTGCTCTTTTGAAGGGATGCCCGGGCTGGGTGGCAACCCCCCTCCACCCCCCGTGGCAAACGAGCTCTGCTCGTAGAAAAAGAATCCTGCTCCATTTCTTGAGTGGATGGGCGAACAAGAGTCCAACTGAATTGAACATGACAAGGGAAATACAGTCGTATTTGCTCTCCAACACCTGGTAGGTAGTGAAAATTGGCCTGAGGCTATTCGGGCTGCATTAGGCCAGGCTCGCCAAGACCCACATCTTTGCGCTGGGGTCTCTTCGACAAGAAAGTGTTGGGTTCCTTTTGGCTGCCCTTCAACACCATTCCTTTCAGCGTTCCGAGCCTCAAAAAACGACGAGCCACCCATATTGGAAAGCATCAGAAACCATGGACCTCAGCTCACCTTTTTTAGTTCGTGGACGTGAAGCGCCAAAAACAAAGCCTCAGCCCACAGCAACTGATGACAAATCGGAGCAACTCTTGTGACTCCTTGTCGGGGTCCAATTAAATTGGAAAAGAAACGAAGAAATGGACCCCCCAGCTCTAATCGGATGAACCACTCTGGTGACTGATAGCGTCGTGGTCCCATCGAACAAATGCCAAAGAAACAACCTTGATCGCCAGTTGCTGCTTTTTCCCAGCCACTGTTTCTGTTTTTAGGGTAAAGTGTCTGGGAAAAAGCGATCGCAACTTGGTGACTTGGTCATCCAGGAAGCATCGTTTTTTGGATTCTGCCCCGAAATCACCTGGCCAGGTCACTGTGCCGGAGATCCGAGAGGAGTGCCAGTGGCTGGATCAGGCCTCGTTTTTTTTTGTTTTGTTTCCTACCGCGGGGGGCGTTGGGGTGTTTTCAAGCCGTGGGCTGCTGGTGCATCGTTCTTTTGGTTTGGAACTTGCTTTTGGTTGGGGCAAAAGGGAGGGGGAGTCCCCTTTTGGTTTCGTTGGTTAATGAAGCTGCGCATGCTTCACCAAATTCATTATAGGGACATGGGGGTGGTTCGCTTTCGGTTCGAGGCTCGAGCAGTCTACCGGCATTGGGCTCTTCTAATGACAGGTTGTAGCCTAGCCAGAATGTGTTTCAACTTATCAAATGGCACCAAACCCTTTTTTTAGCGCCTTCTTGAGCCCCTGTTAATGTAATTACTTTGTGATTCTTCATGAGGGCTGCATGTGTGTGTGTGCGCGGTTTTTGCCTCTGGGTCAAGTGAGCACTGCAACACCAAACCTGGCGGTGCTGGGTTTCGCGGCCATCTTGCAGAGCATTTCGGGCGTCAGACAGGTGCTCAGACCAGCGCGTACCGACATCCGTCAGGGGAATGCCATGGGTCAAACCCGGCAGAACGTCAGGAAAGGGTGAAAGGGGGTTTACACAACTTTACTGTTGTTGGATCATGTTTTTAGGTGTTTTGTCCCCGATTCTGTTCATTTTCAGCAGGGAGCTGCAAAACAAAACAAGTTTTTGTTACTATCGCGTTTGGGTTGCAAAGTCAACGGACGCCAACTTTTGGGCGGGCAAGGAATTTCGATTGTGCGCAGTTCGCTTGGGGATGGAGCACTGGCATGATGCTAAAGGTGCCTTTGAAAGACGCATGCCCATCTTGAAAGAGAGCCTGCGCACAAAGCATGAGTCTGCTCCAGAACAAAGAACGAGTTGGTTGAAGAGGGTACCCCACGTGTAGTAGTCCACTTACCGTGCGCAGGTAATTTGAGTGCCGCACGCATCGGAATGGGCTTGTGGAGTAATGGAAGCATAGTCATGATCATAAGAGCACAATGTGTGTTATTCATTCCGACCCTTATCTTAGATGTCCCTTTTTGTCTGGGTGTTGAACAATTATTTTAGCCCTCTATATTGCTCCTGAGCAAATGATCAAACATACACATAGTGTTGAATTAACTCGCATATACGGATTATACATTTTGGACATACATATATATATATACACATATTATTATATTATATGATTCGGCTTTTCAATCCTTGGCGTGACTTTTTTTCGTGAGGCGCTGCTCAGCTTGTACATCGTAGAGCTGGGCTGTCGGATTGGCCACCTCGGCTGCCCGAGCCCCGGCGTCGGGACCGGGTCCCACCGGGACAAGATCTTCATGTCGACCCCATGAATTGTGGCAGGCAACAAGCTGCTTTCCTCTTGTTTTTTTTATTAGTTTTATAGGGGTTCCTTTGGTGAATGTTGGGTCTATATGAATCAACCCACCAAATTATTCTTCGGGGGGGGGGTCGGGGCCCTCCAAAAGCGGTCTGATTCCCCACCTTTCCCACAAAAAAGTCCCAGTTAATAAACTGGGGTTGATTAATATTATGTCAACATTAAGTTGGTAACCACTTGGTGACGCGCTTGTAAGTGCCCTGGTTCAGGGGGTTGTAGCCCAATTAACCACCTAACTGGGCCGAACGTCCACAGACCAACCTCCTCAATTTTGGGCTTCAACAGTGCGTTGCGAGTTTGCGAGTGTGTCCTTGGGGAGGGGGGTAGCATCCCTGAGTTCTTACGGATATCCCAAAGAGCCTGATTTCGACCTAACATGTAGCCTGGTGACCCGAAAGCTTCTGTTCGCAGTGGGTCCACATGCCCCTTCGCCTCTTGCCACGGTTTTTCTTTTTTCCCTAAGGGTCATGACCCCAATGCACACCCCCGGACCCTATGGAGAACCGCGACCAATTCCTCAGGGGCCCAAGGGAAAAGAACCAGTTTTGAAGGCCCAAAAAGAATCGAGGCCCGGGTTCAACAAGTCCGTGTCGCTTGTTGGACGTTTCTTCGATGGTCTGACCAGCCCAGAAGGCTACGAGCATTGGAGCTCGATCAGCACCTTGCCCAGTCGGTTTCCGCTACATTGCTGCTCTATTGACGAGTTGGCTGGATCCTTGGACTTTATCGTTTTGGGAATGGTTTCTGGGTCCAAGGATTGACGGTTGCTTCCACGATGACTTTGGGTCTTCAAACATACGACCCCATGATTGTTTAGGCCCTGCTATCGGTTTCGTTGCGACTTCAGGAGGCGATCCTGGGCAAATAGCCTCCGGGAAACGAAGAGGGGTACATGGATTATGTGCACCCCGGATTCCTGAGCACCAAGCCAGTCGATCGCCTTTCTTAAGCCAAGAGCTTTGCCTGAACGAGACGAGACGCATTTTTCATCCGGAGCCCTTGGAAATCATTCAGGTGGGGATTTGTGTCCAGCGGCAACTTTGCAGGGGGTTCCCCATCAAGATTCACAGCCAAATGGGCTTGCTCGCCTGCTCCTTCGGCCTTGAGACCAAAAGCCTCCTTTCGGTGCATTTGTTGTCTGCAAGGGCTACCAACCACTTGCCTGACGCAGCTGATCGCCTCCTTAAGTAAGGAGCCCTTTACATCCATTTGCTTAAGAACATTTTTCCCTTGCTGGTTTTAGAGGGAATCTATCACTACTGGATATTTTTCCCAGGGGGCTTAAGCAAACGGAAGTTTAAACTGGCATTTCCCAACGTTTCACTTGAAGCAAAACCAAGTTTCGCTGTAATAGAAATAATAATAATAATAATAATAATAATAATAATAATAATAATAATAATAATAATAATAAAACGCGTAGTCCTCCAACAAGGGTGCGCCTCCACTTCCTGAGCAGCCGATTGCGATTGGAACACCGAGGCCGCTCCTTCTTGACGGAGCAGGACACGGCTTTCCCGGGGTGGGCGTTTCGGTCCGGTTCCTGTGTCTACGAAAACCATGGCGCCAGCGCGAGACTTTCATTTGAAGTAGGGCAGCTCCAAGCCTTGATTCGGCTTCCTTTGGCTCGGGAAGGGGCAAAGATACGTGTCGAAAACCCATGAGTATTGCTGACCGAGTAAAAGTGGTACGTAGACATTTCTAGCATTCAGGTGGCTTGGCGAGAACAGGATGCATACAGCAAAATAAGGTCCTTTGTATTGACATGTCACAAGGCGAAACAAGTCGCAAACAAGCCCTGGCTTTGACTTGGGGTTAGCTCCGCTGTCGCCAAAGGTCGCCGGGAGAGGTTTTGCTGTTGAGAAAACTACGCAGCATTCAGTCCCCAAAGTCTTAAACACTAAATGTCAATGAACTCAACCCTGAGTTTGTTTGGATCTGAAGATAAAGTAAGTCCACGTTTTGTAGCTTCAAACCAGTTGCTTGTTTGAAAAATGAAGCTTCTGTCTAAGGATGCACCGATTTTATACATTGCGGGGTCCATTACATGAGCTGGCTTGCGTTGATGAAAATGCCGGCTGTTAGATCAGCATTCCAATCTCTGCTGCTATGAAGGAGTTGTTTCTTACTTCCATTTGCTGAAGAATATGTTATATTTTCCCTTGTTGGTTAGGGAATCTAGTACTATTGGATGTATTTTAGTTGTCACAGGGTGCTTCAGCAAATGGAGGCTGTTAATGAATCAGGCAACTCTTATTTGGTGGTTTGGGTTTGTGGTTTGGATTTGGATTTGCACCCCTGGTTCTTCTACAGGGTAATTGGACAACACTTAGCTCAACCACCAAACCACGAATCTGAATTACCAACTGAGGGGAAAGTGAATGAATGCTCACAAGACAGCTGTATGAGGTTCAGTAGCAAACAAACGGGTAACGGGTAGTATACGGTTCATTGCGGAGGACAGACCTGACACATGTTCCCGCCAACAAAAAGTGGGCTCGACAAAATATACATAAATCAATAAATAAATAAATAAATAGATGAGGAGAATAACATTAAGGTTAGATCACAAAACATGTCCTTCTGGGGAAAGGTGCTAACAAATAAGCTTCAGCTTGCGCTACAAGTGTGGCACCCATTCGAACCCATTTCTTGCAACCCGGTACTTTCCTTAATTTCAAGTATCACGCTGAGGCCAGACATTATCACAGCGCAACCGTGCGAGGCTCTGGTGATGGGGCTCGTGGAGGAGCCAGGTCCCCCCCAAAAAGCCAATCCCGAGAACTGCTTTCAGGGTCTCCAACGATTCTTTTGGGGGCCCCCGAATTTCCATCACCCTGAGACGCTTGTGCGCGCCAATGGACGCCTCGCAGGAGCGGACTTGCAATCTCCTGGATGTGGTGCGGCCCTCATGCGGGGTCGAGCGAGCCACCTCATTCGTTGCGAAGCCCTTGGGGCCAGAGCAGTACCTGTTCCCCCCAAACCGGATGACCACCAGCAGTTTGATGGTATTCCAGGGCCTTGCCCTAAAACATGTTGTCGCAACTTTGGAATCGGAACATTGCAACGGCGTCCTTTTGATTCCCTTGAAGCCAAGCTTAAAAGGGTTCCCACATTTTGAGAGGACACACTTCTGAAATGCCTTGATGTTTTTTCAAATCCCTTTATACCTGCCCAAGAAAAGGAAACCCCCCCTCCCAAAAAAAAACAATCCAACAACCTGTGGTTTTCCCAGTGTTCTTTTCTTTAGCCTGACCCAAAAAAAGTTACCAAGTCAAGCTCCAAAAAGGCACCGCCTGTTTTCCCGAGGTCAATGTCTCCGTCGGTTTGCTGCAGATCTTCGCCCGGGACGCCCAGCCTTCCGCGTTCCGCGTTAGACTCTGACGAATTCATCGTGGATGGTGGCGAAATCCACAAAACGCACCGCGGTTCAGAGAAACCCTGGCATGCTGATTCGATTCCCCAACGTAAACACCAGCAAACCATTGCGAAATGGATTTCGTCCATCCACAATATGTCAGTTTTTTTTTGGGGGTACCGTTCGGTACCGTGCTTTACCCACAGATGGACACAATCTTGCAGGCACCAGGTGGGATTGGTGGTTCAACCAATTTAAGTTTGGGCTTCCTCCACCCCAACTGGTGCCGATCAGCGTGGATTTCGTCCAATGTCCATAGAGGGTATGTCTTTTTGGGAGGGTACTCGCAAAAGGGGGTTGGTTTCAAGGGAAACCAAAGGGAAACCAACCATTCGCGGTTAGATGAGCTAATTTTGTGAGACTCCCAATGCCCATTTTGGATGCGCACATTTTGACCGTCCCACATCCGGAGGAGGGTTGGGTGCCCTCCGCTGAACAAGACGAGAGCGAAAGAAAGGAAGCCCGACGAACCATAGCGCACCCGCGGACAACAGGGAACCTAGGGTTTGCCTGTTATCCACTGAAGAAAGGCACCTTCAAATCATGTGTTTCTCCAAAAGAAAGCTATATATGCGCTTTTAGGGGGTGATATATTTTCTCCCTTTGGGGTTCAACCACATTCCGCCCAAGAAATAACGAAGGACCCGAATTTTCGGCTGAATTCATTGGAGTCGTCGGGGTTCCGGAACCACACTGTCCCCCTTCTTGAATAGTCAGCCAACTCGTTAGGTATATAGTAGGTTACAACCATAGTTGTCAGACTATCCCATACGAACCTGAATTACACCTGTTTTAGCCATGGGTATAAGCTAGGCAGCGACTGGCGGTTACAAGCTACTTGTTGAACACTCAAGCTCGATGGGACGTTAAGCCTCTGGGATGCCACGTTGGGAGAAAAATCGAGGATCCAAACCGAGGGCCGAACTGTTGAGCATCGCTGTTTGTGGATCCAGTCTTTTGCTTCTTTGTTTGTTTTGGTTCTGTTCATGTGAAGTAGGGGGCTGCAAAAAGCCGTCGGTTGTTGCAACCATGCCAAGGAATTATGAAGTGGGTCAACGGTTTCCTTTGGTTTCTCTTCACAGACGAACTTGCTTTCTTTTTATCACGGTCCTGGGAGCATCCTTGCTACTTGGCAAGGATTTCCTCTTGCACTCGTTTTGGTTTGAGTCGAGACTGTTGTTTGCAGGTGAAAAAAGGGGCTCTATTCTTGACATGCTCCCAATCCGCGGCTCACATGGACCTAGCTACCTGAAACCGGGCGGCTCCTTTTCCCAGTAGCCTCCATGGATTCACTGCCGTTGGTCAGTTCAGGGTGGCCAAGGGTCTCTACAGTTTGATTTTCAGCCTGGTTTAAACATCAACTTGTTGGACCATTTCGTGAGTGTTGGGCCGATCTTGGGGGAATTATCGGGAGCCCTCTCCTTCAACATGCTGGATGTCAAGACGTCTATTGCTTTCCCCTCGTTGGGTGTGTCTGAAAATAGGGGCCCCCATACATGGATTTCGGTTTCCCTTGAGTTTCCCTTTTTGCGCAACCCCGAAGGGTACCGAGCCTCAAGCAAAGACTCGTCTAAGATTTCGGCGCGCGGGGAAAACCCAAGCCGAGGTGTTGCCCTTCGTGTTGCCTCCAGCGCATCTGCGCTACGTAGGCGCGGGGGCTTGGGGTGACAGGACTGCGCTGGGGGGGGGGACGCCTTTTCTTACTGCTGCGATAGGTGAATGGAATGCCCCCGATTTAAACCATCCCCTATGGTTTCCTCGAAGGGAATCCCCTTGTGGTTCATTCAATGTCATTCCCGGAGCACCAGCAAGTTGGGGCGCGTTTTGCGTAACGTAGAATTCCGCAGCAAAGAGGAATCGATCTGCCATGCTGGTACACCACAAGGCGTCCTGTAGCCGACTGTCTCTTTGTGATGCCTGCCTGGAAGACTCTGCCAGCCTACTTTTTTTGGAGGTGCCATGAGCATGACTTGTATTTGCTTAAACACATTGGTTGATTTTCCCTTGTTGGTTTTAAAGGGAATCGATTTCACTACTGGATATATCTTCTCATTTTGTCTAGGGGATTTATACAGGGTGCTATATAATTCAGGGAACTTCTCTCCCGCTGGATTAGGACTTTTGTCCAGTCCCCCGGGCAAGCAAGCAAGAAAGCCAGCAAGCAAGCAAGCAATGTAGCACCCTGAACCCCCCGGAATGCTTTAAACACAAAACCACCTACCCTACACCTGCCCCGACCCACCCCACACCCGAACAGCACCCCAAACATACCCGAAGCCTACCCTTAACCACCCTAAGAGTACCAAACGTGCCTTGAACCCAAAAAACGCACACCCTAAACGCCCAATCCGAAACCTCACTAAACCTGCCTTTATCCTCAACTCAACCAACCCAACCAACCCAAACTCCATCTGAATCAACCCTAGAACAATCCTAAACCGACCCGCCTAAAGCAACCGCAACCACACCCTAGACCAGCCTTAAGCCAACTCTAAACCCACCCATAAACCCACCTACACAGCCGCACGCCACCCTGAACCCACAACTCTGAACCCCTCCCCAAACCCAACTTAAACCAACCCTGAACGAACCCCGAAGCCCACTCTAAACCAACCCCCCAACGCACCCTGAACCTGAACCCACCCCAAAAACTAAAACCAAAACCCCGCCCTAAGCCAACCCTGAACACCCTAAACCACCCTCAGCTTGCTTTCATTCTCCTGTCCTGTTTGACTAAGGCACCCGTCAAGTATCCTCGTGAAGGTGGCGGTTTATGCACCAAGGACGTCCTGGACGACAGTAAGCCCGGACGCACCCCTAAACCCATCCTACCGTAAACCAATAAGCTGCCCACCCCAAACCCATGCTAAACCTACCCAACTAAACCCGACCTAACAAAGCCTACCCTAAGCCTAGGACCTTGAACCGACCTTGAACCCCGTAAGCACCCTAAACTACCAGCTCCATCTAACCCTCTACCTCAGGCCCCAAACCACCGGATAAGAATTCCCAAAAGCACTGGAAAAATTCCCGAGAAAATGGTCGGCCTTATGGGATGGTCTGCGCGCAGCCCAAGTGCTCAAAGCGCGAAACGCGACGTTGTAAACGCGACCTTCATTTCGGCTGGACCAGGCGCTGTTGCTTCGGCCATAAGATTCAACGCTGCCGCAGGATGCCGGGCGGATACGCAAAGATTGCCGTTCCGCGTTGCGCTGGCCAAGCGGTCTGCGCAAGTGTTCTTGAGCGCGCTCTGCAAACGCGAGCGGCTTCGCCAGCCGAACGGCGTGGCCTTTTTGCGGGAGCCTTGAGCTTGCGCCTTGCGCTTCTCGCAACAACGCAGTGTTGCCCGAGGCAACAGGCGCTCGCGGCAGACGGCTGCTGGGTTGATGCATTTAATTGTAAAGCCCAACCCCGACGCCCATCTCAACGATCTCGAAGTCCGTGAGGGGCTTAAGGCCGGGCGACTTGCTGCAAGAAAGCAGCGCGTTGCCCAAGGTTTTGGCCGCGACGGCTGGAAAGCTGCTGCCGGCATTACGGACTTCGATGGCCGGCGTCGCGGTCACGAAGTGCTGCAGGGCGATATAAACGCATTACTTGGAGCGATCAGGCACGCGCCCACGTGAAGCCCGTGGCGGAGTGCCGCGCGGCGAGCGCGGTCCAGGCGGCGCTGCTGGCAGCCGTACTGGGATAGGGTCGTACTTACGCTGGAGTTATAAGTGAGAAAGCACTTAGCTTGGACTTATAAGTAACTTATCTTGAACTTAGAAAAGAGGTTTTTCTAAGTCCGCTAAGTTCATTCTAAGTTCATTGAGTTTGCAAACACATGCGTTTTGAAGCATGGCAACGATGAAGCATTACGCGCTGGAAATCACACATTTTCGTGTGACTCAACGCAGCAGGGCAGGCGCGCGCGCATGCAGTTTACGCTGTTTGTTCGCGCTGCTTCGCACGCTTGGCTCGATGGAGCCGGAGCATTTTTTGCACTGATTGACTTGGTTTCATTTTGTTGTGCGATAATCGTTTCTATAGCGGTGTCTCCGCTGGCGGCCGGTCCGCCTTCATATAGTCGCATGGGGTGGTTTCTCCGCCGGCGGCCGGTCCGCCCATTTTGCTTTTCTCGTTTGATGATATATCATTGTAGCGGTGGTTCCGCTGGCGGCCGGTCCGCCAAGCTTTTTTTGCCACGTTCATTTTCATTTCGAGATGGCGCTTGAAGCGGTTGTCCGCTGGCGGCTGGTCCGCCCAGGAATTGTTCGGCGTGATTTTTATTTCGAGATGGCACTTGAAGCGGTGGTCTGATGGCACCTTGCGATTTTTTGCATGTTTGGATTGTGAGTGCGCTGCAAGACTGCAGAAGACTCCAGACTGACTCCACTGCAGACTGCAGACTCCAGACTGCAGACTCCAGACTGCAGACTCCAGACTGCAGACTCCAGACTGCAGACTCCAGACTGCAGACTCCAAACTGCAGACTCCGGACTGCGACTCCAGACTGCAGACTCCAGACTGCAGACTTCAGACTGCAAACTCCAGACTCCAGACTGCAGACTCCAGACTGCAAACTCCAGGCTCCAGAGTGCAAACTCCAGACTCCAAACTGCAGACTCCAGACTGCAGACTCCAGCAGACTGCAGACTCCAGACTGCAAACTCCAGACTCCCGATGCAGACTCCAGACTCCAGACTCCAGAATCAAGACTGCAGACTCCAGAATGACTCCAGACAGACTGCAGACTCCAGACTCCAGACTGCAGACTCCAGACTGCAGACTCCAGGCTGCAGACTCCAGACTGCAGACTCCAGACTGCAGACTCCAGACTGCAGACTCCTGACTCCAGAATCCAGACTCCTGACTCCAGAATTCACAGTCCAGACCCCAGAATCCAGCATCCAGACAGCCCCGCCCCAAAGCCCGGAAAGGCCGGTGCAGTTTTTTCGAACTTAACAAAACTTAACTTAACTTAACCTGGGCGGGTCGTGTGGAGCCGTGGAGCCCCTATTGTAACTCAATCAACTTAACTGCCAAACTTTCCCCGTGAGGCCCAGTTGCGTCACCACGACTTAACATAACTTAACTTGGCCCCGTGGCCGAGTTCCACCACAAAATGATCAGGATCCTGGAGCCAGGTGTCATTGTGTCTGGAATCTGGAATCTCGAGTCTGCAGTCTGGATTCTGGAGTTGGCAGTCTGGACTCTGCAGTCTGGAGTCTGCAGTCTGGAGTCTGCAGTCTGGAGTTTGCAGTCTGGAGGAGTCTGGAGTTTGCAGTCTGGAGTCTGCAGTTTGGAGTCTGCAGTCTGGAGTCTGCAGTCTGGAGTGTGGAGTTTGCAGTCAGCAGTCTGGATTCTGGAGCCTTGATTGAGTCTTGCAGCCTTTCACCCGCGCACTCACAATCCAAACATGCAAAAAATCGCAAGGTGCCATCAGACCACCGCTTCAAGTGCCATCTCGAAATAAAAATCACGCCGAACAATTCCTGGGCGGACCAGCCGCCAGCGGACAACCGCTTCAAGTGCCATCTCGAAATGAAAATGAACGTGGCAAAAAAAGCTTGGCGGACCGGCCGCCAGCGGAACCACCGCTACAATGATATATCATCAAACGAGAAAAGCAAAATGGGCGGACCGGCCGCCGGCGGAGAAACCACCCCATGCGACTATATGAAGGCGGACCGGCCGCCAGCGGAGACACCGCTATAGAAACGATTATTGGACAACAAAATTAAACCGAGTCAATCAGTGCAAAAAATGCTCCGGCTCCATCGAGCCAAGCGTGCGAAGCAGCGCGAACAAACAGCGTAAACTGCATGCGCGATGGCTCACTGCGCGGTCCTGCCGCGATGGCTCACTGCGCGGTCCTGCCGCGATGGTCGCTGCGCGGTCCTGCCGCGATGGTCGTTGCGCGGTCCTGCCGCGATGGTCGCTGCGCGGTCCTGCCGCGATGGTCGCTGCGCGGTCCTGCCGCGATGGTCGCTGCGCGGTCCTGCCGCGATGGCTCGCTGCGCGGTCCTGCCGCGATGGCTCACTGCGCGGTCCTGCCGCGATGGTCGCTGCGCGGTCCTGCCGCGATGTGTTTTCCAAACATGGAAGCGGCCCCGCCGCCGCTACGCCGTGTTCCGCCCTGCGCGGTCTAGCCGGGAGCGACCGTACGTCTCGAAAAATGATGCGCGCGCGCGTAGTCCGGTGTCAGGCTTTCTCTCTCGTTCAGCGATGTGGTCCGCAACATGTCAGGGGTAGCGCACGCGTGCTTTTTCGCACGCAGGCAGACACGTAGACTCAGCGAGGTAGACGCGTTTGGGACATTGCTTCGCAAGCGCTGAATGACCGAAGGCTGTTTTCCTCAAATGGTGCTAAAAAGCTAAGTCCCAGCTAAGTTCATTCTAAGTCCCGGCACCCGGAACTTAGCTCGAACTTATAAGTGGGCCTATCTAAGTTAAACATAGACAAGTAACTTATAACTATCCTCGGACTTAGCAAACTTATAAGTCCACTTGTAGTAACTTATAACTCAAGTTATAAGTACGACCCTATCCCAGTAGAGCTGGCCAGTTCGCCGCCGGCCGCGCGCTAAGGGACTTTCTTACTGCGAAGTAGATTGCGACTTGTCCGAACTAGGCTGTTCTTCCGGCGGGCTGGGAATGTTCCACGCTTAGAAAGAAGCTTGGGTGTTTCGAGTAGTGCGACTTTGGCCGAGGCTACATAGACCCCTCGAATGGAGGATTTTGGCATTGGTGCCACCGAAGAGCGGCAGCGTGTTTGTGGACCAAATGCGCGCGAGTCTGCGTCCTTTTGTTGCGACGTGGAAGAAGCCCACAAAAACAATGGCTTTCGCGAAATACTTGTTTGCCGCGAGAGCCACCTGACCCCTTTTGTTTGTAGCAGAAAAGTCGCGAGGCAGCTTTAGGGCAGAAAAGGTAGCGCGGTCCCGTTGTTGACGCTGCTCCGCGAAATTCTTGCCTCTTATGAAAGAACAATTCCGCAGTAGATAACAAGCCTGATCCAAAGTTTGAGCCCACTAAAACGACTCCTCCACAAAACCACAGCTTAGCCCCATCTTCGTGGCCCCATGCGCGAAGACTTGAATCTCAAAGTCTGAGATGAATAGTTTGCGAAAACAAAAAGCAAAAGTCAATCGAGATTTGGGCGCGCGGTCCCCTTGCTTTTGAAGAACGGGAATGCTTTACAGTCTTTTGCAAAATGCTCTTGACAATTCCGCGAAGATGCCAAGAATCAAACAGCCAGGGGCCTGGGCAACCCAAAGACCCGAAGAAAGAGAAACAGCCAGGGATAAAGTAGAAGAAAGAAAAACAGCCAGGGTTGTCTTTTCTCGAATCTTTGAGCCCAGGAAGCCCGCTCTTTCCATGTTTCCAAGCTGCGTTGTTCGCAGCTGCTGACTTGGGAGCTGTCGCAACCTTGAGCGTTGCGAGCATGTCCTTCGTCGCCCGAGCTGTTCTTCGCTCAGGCTCGCGGATCTCATGTTGCACCCGGCGAAGGTCTTGCAGTGCGATTTGTTGTTTAAAATCTCGGGGCCGAGTTCGACGCCGTTTTTCACCTTGGGAGGCGCGGGCTGTTCAAGACGGACGCTCAAGGCTGTCGTAGTTTGGTGACGCCAGGAGAGCACGTGCTGACCCAAACACACGTCGCCTACCGAAGCTGGGGCTGGCCAGTGAGCTGGGACGAAGCGGTGTATTTGAGCAAGCAAGCAAGCAAGCAAGGCACGCACACACGCAAGCAAGCAAGCAAGCAAGCAAGCAAGCAAGCAAGCAAGCAAGCAAGCGGGCGCAAGAAAGCCACCGCGGTATACTTCAAACACAAAACCACCTCCCCTACACCTGCCCCAGCCCACCCCACACACCCCAAACACCCTTTGCCTGCCCTTTGTACCAAACATGGATTGAACCCAAAAAACGCACACCCTAAACGCCCGATCCGAAACCGCCTTTATCCTCAACTCAAGCAACCCAACCAACCCAAACTCCGTCTGAACCCACCCTAGGCCAACCCTAAACCGACCCACCCAAAGCAACCGCAAACACACCCTACTACCCATAAACCCATGCACACCCGCACGCCTCCTTAAATCCACAACTCTGAACCCTAAGCCCGCCCTAAACCACCCTACACCCACCCCAAACCTAACGCATGAACGAACCCGGAAGCCCACTCTAAACCAACCCCACCCCAAGCACCAAAACCAAAACCCGCCCTATGCCAACGCTGAACAACCCTACAAGAGCCTGGATGCCTGTCTCTCCTGTCCTATTTCACTAAGGCGCCCGCCAAGTACCTCGTGAAGGTGGCGGTTTATGCGCCAAGGACGACCTGGATGACGGTAACCCCGAACGCACCCCTAAACCCATCCTACCCTAAACAAAAAGCCTGCCCACCCAAAGCCATGCTAAACCTACCCAACTACACCCAACCTAACGAAGCCTACCCTAAGCCTAGGACCTTGAACCAACCTTGAACCCCGTAAGCACCCTAAACTACCAGCTCCATCTAACCCTCTACATAAGGCCCCAAACCACCCCAACCAAACCCGCGCCAAACCCACCCTAAACCAGGCCCACCCTGAACCGCCTGGCCACCTTAAATCCTAAGCGCGCCCTAGACCCACCTTAAACCACTCCAAAGGTGACTGGAAAATGGAACGGATAAAATTCTGAAAAGCGCTGGAAAATTCCCGAAAAGAAAGTCGGCCATTTATACAAGCAAATGGAAGTAGGTAACCGGGAGGCCTTCATGTAGAACCTCCTGGTTACTTACAGAGGTAGCTGCAAGGAAGCAAATGGAAGATGACCAGAAATATGAGCTCCTGGTGTGAAATCTTGGTGTACGAGTTAACAAAAAGGACCGTTGGTTTCTGGCACATCAGCCCAAATCCGAAGGGTCCAAAATGGCAATTCTAAAGCCGAGGCCTTCTGAGCTACCTCCGCCTGATCCGCGCCCTGCGCCTGCCCTTGGGCTCAGTCGACGTCCACCTGGTTTTTTGTTGGGTCCAGGTGTCCAGGAAATCCATCTCGCACCACTTTGAAACCATTGTTCGTTGGTATTCACAGGTGAATCATCATTTCAGGGTTTCTTAGGTGGTGCAGGATGTTGTCCATCCACAGTAGGTAGCAAAACTGGGGCAGCCCTAGAAGTGGTTGCTCCCTTTCGTGGTTTCGGTAAAATTTCAAAGCTTCAGGTAAGCCTTTGGTGGTTGGATTGGTGGGAACTAGGGATTGGAACCCCTTAGTGTAGAGGGAAAACGGGCAACCACCCCGAACATCAATCCAAACCGACAAACGAAGGGAAAGCGTTGCAGGTTGGGTATCGGCTTTGGTGGTCCGGTTGGCTGATTGTGGTACTGGTAGCTGCTGCCACGTGGGTCAAAACAAACCTTTGATCTGGGCTTTTCAGGGCGGGCATCATGCCTTCCTGTTCAGAAGTTCAGACCCATGACCCCAAGTTTATACCAGTTCTTGGCAAGGTTTAGTTTTTTTTGGGGAGGTTCTGTTCATTCTTAGTAGAGGGCTGCAAAGAACATGTTTTTGCAACCATACTAAGGGTTGTGAATATACGTATGAGTATGGATGCTGCATCGCCGGTATTCTTGGTTGAAGCTGCTTCTCGTTTGGTTTTTCTGGACCCACCGGTCCCCTCCCCCCATTTACCACGCAAGGCAGCGCTCGATGTTGCCCTCAGGTTCAAGAACTCGAGCTTCGGCTGGACCGGCGACGACTGGTTTCAGGAGCCGCCGGCGCTGTGGATTGTGTTTTTTGGTTTTTCTACAGATTTGATGCCTTCGTGGAAGCAGGTTGGGGAATGTTTGTCTTAACCCCCCCCCCCAAAAAAAAAAGAAGAAGCAGAAGAAAAAACACAAAACAAAGAAACAACAAACACAGAAGGAAGAAGCGAACTGCACACAAAACTTGGGGACTTCACGGTTTCCGTTTGAATCCACCCCATACTCCGATTGTCCGTGGCTCAGAGTTGCTGTTTTCTCAGAGCATAGAGTACGCAAGGATAATATTATTGTTGGAGGTCAGTTGGATGGAGCCTGTTGCCAAGCATACGCTTGATTTGTGTGAAGTTGCCTCCCTAAGCACATAGGAACCCTGTTTTGCGGGTTAGGGTGGCCGGGACCTTTCATCATGGAAGTTTGCACTAATTTTAACAAGGTCCCCCGATCCGGGCTGATTGCCCCACAATGAAAGTCCTTTACTTAGGGATAATATCTATCAGGTTGGCCTTGTTTTGGTCATTTGTGCAGGAAGTTGGGTGTGTCAAACTGAGTTGGTGCTTGGTGCTCACGCGAAGTTCAGTTCCGTGCTCAGGAAAATTCCCCCGGATTGCATCAGTGCTACCTCCACTTGTCCGGACCATTCATGGCCAGACTTGGCTTACTAGCTTTATATTTCGCCGTTTGTGTTTTGCATCATTCGGGTGTGCCCTTACGACGGCCCCTTACGGATGGCCCAGAAAAAGTCTAAAACATTAAACCTGTTGATGGCTGAAAAGGAAAATGATGGAAATCCGGAAAGGCAAACAGCTGAAAAGTAGGATAAGTCAATGGAGAGGGGCGCCAAAGAATACAATCTCCGAATATGAGTGGCTCAAATTAGCCACCCTTCTCTCCCGAATTCCCTCCAGGAGCAGCGGCAGGTAACAACGCGGCAAAAACAAGCTTGGCCAGACTAACCGGACAAGTCGTGTGTGCGTGCGGCTGATTGAAATCGGAACATGGGTGTGCGATGTTTTGAGGGCGGTGGCTTTCAAGGGGGAGCCAAGTGGAAAACCGCCGTCCCTCAGAAAGTGAAGGCCCCAGAACCCTATTCTTTGTTTCTTGAGCCTTTTTCATAAGGCCAAACCGCAATGGGGGATCGAGCCGAAAGTCGAAACGCGGCGTCAGTACCTCTCCGGCGGGGTCATTTGCTTGAACGCCGCGGTGCTGGGATTTGCACCTCGGATTGGATTTCTCGCGTTCCCAAGGTGTTTCCGGACGGTTGACTTTTTGAAAACACCCTTGTGGTACCCAGTGCAGCCCAGTTACCAACATAGTAGGCAACCACTCTAATTTTCCTTTTGGTCCTTAAAGGTGGTTCCTTTGGTTAACTGTACAAGTCAATGGATCCGCTGGGGAAAACAAGCAGTTTAGACTGTTTTTGGCCATCCACTCAAGTGGGACCCTTGAAATGATGGTTGAAAGGGAGACCACCCCGAACAGCGACACTTTTTCTGAGAGCCCCGAAGCCGCAGGGTGGCCTAAGGGGCCTAAGGGCGACCAAATCGGGGTAGAGATGTAAGGGGCCTAAGGGCGACCAAATCGGGGTAGAGATTTGATAGAGATTTGGTGTCGATTTCCTTTGGTTTCCTTTCGAAGGCCAAAGCTCCAGCCTTGTTCCGGTGTCAGAGCAACCCGGAAAAGCGGCCAAAGAATGACATGGAAATATATCAGCTGCTCCCCTGTTGCGAGCTTCCACTGCTCGTTACTTCTGGATCCCCCCCCCCCCCCGGTTTTTGCTTGTTTGGACGTCCGGAAATAGGCTTTGTTGAGTTGGAACCCACAGATTTGACTCTCAGCTCCAAGAAACTGATCGCATTGAAGCTCCAACAATCGCAACTAAGATTCAGGAAAACACAACTTAGATTCCATTGGTGGCTCTTGGATTACTCTGACTCGCACCTGTGTGAGGGGAATTTGACTGCTCGGGGAGACCACCTCACTGGTTCAGTGCCTGTCAAGCGGGTCCTGGCAGGAGTCGGCAGTGGCTTGAACTTGGGATTGGGGACTCTCCAGCCATCAGGATTCAGTTCCCCACAGAACGTTGGAGGGTTGGATTTACTTGCCCCCCCCCCCTTAGCCTGACCCTCAGTATATAGATTGATGGGGGCTCACTCGTGGGGCTCTTAATTGTTTTAGGGGGCAGCTAGATTCAGCAAACACGCACTTTGTTTAGATTCAGTATTTTTTCTGTCTCACGCAAAATCACCCACAAGACGCTCAACTAGGCACTAGTGGGAAAAACACGCAGCTGGAACATGTTTTGGCGTGCATCCGCAAATTCATTTCCCACAGATTGTCGCTCATTTCGCGCCAATTTCCGCTCTTTTGGGATAACATGGGCCAACTCGTGCCGTATCAGTAATCTCATTTTGCGCCGGCCCTTCGCGCTGAAAGATGTAGATGGCCATCATCTCTGAGCTTCATCATCCTGGTCTCGGAGCACCGGTGCGCCTGGCGCGATTTGACAGGGAGAGGGCTGGTCGCTTGCAGAGTGCGTTTGCCCAGTCAAAACCTAGAAAAAAAGCCCGTTACCAGTGGAGATGGCCCAACAGCGACAGCAGACAGGGGAGGAAGGGGCTGTTTGGGTTGGGTAGGGATCTGCTTATTAGTTGCTACAGCAACATTATGCATACCATGAGTCTGGCTCAGCGCTCGGGAGCTGGGGACTAGTGGGGACCTGGCAATGTCTGGCCGCGCCCGCCTCTTTGTGGAGCTGTGGCATGCTCTGGGGTTTGATCGTGACTCGCGCAGCCGATCACGGCGCAGGACAAAGCTCCCAGTTTTCTTTTTACTTTTAGAATCTTTTAGAGATCGAACTTCACATTCCCCCTGTCAACTTCGGGGCCTATGGTTTCAGTTGAGGAGGCGATCCCCGTCACCCCGACGCCATCACAGACGCCCCCGCTCCCCAGCCACCCCCCCTCGGTTCCGCAGCCCTCGCAGCAGTCCTGCTGGACGCCGACGCCATCCTCATCGTCGCAGTCCTGACCGAGGCCATCCTCGCAGTCCTGATCGAGGCCATCCTCGCAGTCCTGATCGAGGCCGTCCTCGCAGTCCTGATCGAGGCCGTCCTCGCAGCCATCACAGCCCTCCTGTCTTGTCTGCGCAGCGCATCCAGGAGATCAACAACGAGAGGGCCCGGCGCGGACTTGCAGCCCGACGGCCAGCTCAGCTACGCCGCAATGCCCGCCGACCACCGCCAGGTGGCTCGGCATCGCAGCCAGTCGTGCATTTTTTCATACACCACTTCCTGTTTTAGGCAACTCTAACCTTGGCCCAACTCTTCGACCACCTCATGCTTTCCATTCTTGTTCTGTCAGCTTCAGGCGTGCGCCGTCCTCTCCAGGCTGACACTGCTGCAGAGGGGGCCGCTGAGGGGACCTCAGCACCCGGACCAGGAACCTCAGCAGCCGATGCAGCTGAGGAGGCCTCAGCTGCCGGGCCTGCAGCCGTCACTGTGGTGGATGAGGAGGACCAGCCGGAGGGCGAGCAGGAGGGCAAGCAGGAGGGCAAGGAGGGCAAGCAGGAGGGCGAGGGCCAGCAGGATTCCAACCCACACTTTGACGAGTGGGCAGGAGGGTCTGGAGATGAGGCGCAGGGAAGACAAAAAACATCGTTAGCAGTTTGAGAGGACTGGTACTTGCACTCATGGGTCATGACACCGCTCCGCGCAGGTCATGCCATCAGCCGTCTGGAGTCAGCAGAATGGCGCCCGCTTCTTCGTGGGCGGGTTGAACAGCGGCACAGACTTGCCCAGGCTCCGGCGGCAGGGAGTGCGCCTCGTCGTGGTGTGCCTCGACCGCATGCCTTACGATCCGCCGCAAGTGGCAGATCTCCGCTATGTCCAGAGCCTTGGCTTCTCAAGTCCATATGTTCTGTGACGTGGCTTCTGTCTTTAAACAGCACTAAATTACGGAAACTCAGCACAACTTGAGGTGGAACATCGGGTATGCGCCGCAGGCCAAATCGGCCTTCGACCAGCGCGTTCGCCCTGCGGTCAACGAGGCAGTCATGGCTGGCCACGGGGTGCTCTTCCACTGTCGCAAGGGCAGGCATCGCTCTGCCCTAGCAGCTGCAGTGGCCCTGATGGTGGGGCTGGGCTGTCAGTTTCACGAAGCTGCCAGGATGGTGCAAGACGCCCGTCCTTGTGCCCAAGTTTGGAGGGCCTACTCCACTGGCACTGCCCAGCGCTGGATCCAGCTGATCCAACGGGAGCACCAGTGACCTGGGGATCTGGGGACTCGGGCGCCACCACAAATTGTACACCATTTTCGTGTCATTCGCACATTCAACAAGTGAGCGGTGGGGCCTGGGGACCTGGGGACTTGGGGATCTGGGGATCAGCAGCCACTGAGCAAAAAAAAGTGGCGTAGAGTCGGATGTGTTTTTGGGAACATTGTTAGTCTTAGCGTGCTTGGAACTTTGAACTGATCCTGTAGCTCCTGAGACCTCAGTCCAGTGTGTTGATTCTGATGGTGACGTTGCCGCGCCTGCCAGGATTGGCACCCACGACCGCTGCTCGGGGCCCGAAGGGGAATGCAGAGAGCGACGCGACACGCCTGACCGACTCCTCGCACCCGACTCCGTACCCGACGCGCCCGACGACGCGCCCGACGACGCGCCCGACGACGCGCCCGACGCTGCGCCCGACGACGCGCCCGACGCTGCGCCCGACGCACCCGACGCCGCGCCCGACGCCGCCCGACCCCCAAAACTACGCCCGACAGCTCCAATGGCTTCTAGACTGCTTACTTTGCTTTCTCTCGAGTCAAGACTTCCCAGCGCCCTTACCCTGACCCCCTTTCTGGCTTTGGGGGTCTGTCCAGACTGGCTTTATCTAGCATGCGCAGGGTCACATCAACCAACAACCGTCGACTTGCCTCCAGCCTGAACAGGCTGCTGCTCCCTGTGGTTCCTGTAGAGCAGCTCAGGGTGGCAGAGAATTGAACCCCAACAGCATCTTTTGAGGCAGTTCAGTTTCCGACGCACTTCTGGGAAGGGGAAGCATCTCTGGGGGGCTGTTCAGTTTGAGAGGTGCAGAATTTGGGGAATTGGAGCAGTTCACTTCCTCACGTGCTGTGGGAGGGGCTTGGCACGGCATTGCACATCCTGTGGATCCACACTTCCCCAGCAACGGAGGGGCTTTCAACTGAATCCTCAAGGAGTTTGATTTGGCTCACTCACTGGGGGGGGGGGGTGAATTTTCTCTTATTGCAATTCAATTCCTTTGCGGAAAGGGGGGTGTTGTGGTTTTAGGAGCACGCGCTTTTAGGGGAAGGGGCCTGGTGAATAAAATGAGGTCGGGGGGGGGGGGGAACTTGGCGGGGAGTGAAGGAGTGTTCGCTTGGAGCAGGTCAATTCCCCACACACTTGGGGGGGGGGGCAGGCGGGGAATTGAATCATCTCGTGGGGCAGTTCAATTCCCCATGTAAGGGGGGGGCCACCTGGCAGCTCTAAACAAAAGGTGGTGGTGGGGAATTGAACCACCTTGTGCACAGTTCAATTCCCCACAGACTTGGAGGGACGGGACCTGCGGGGAATTGAAGCCTGAAGAGCATTTTTCCGGCCATCCAGTTCGCACTGAAAAAGGGGCTGGCGGGGAACTGAATCCCCAGCAAGCATGATTCGGACCAGCTCCAAAGCAGTTCAGTTCCCCATGCACTTCAACAAAAAAAAGGAACCTGAATTCCCACACAGGGGGGGGCTTCTTGGAGTTACCTGCTTCAGGGGGGCTGGAAATGAATTCGCTTGTGGAGCAGTTCCCCCACTCACACACACCCCTGCCTGATATCAATGCCCTTCCAGAAAACGTGCCTAGACTGAGTCCCCCCAAAAATTAAGCTTTGCCAGCTCCCAGGCCTGGTTGTTGGATGGTGAGGCTGGGCTGTGCCGCACCTGGGCGGAGGGGAAATGACTCAAAGTTGGAGCGGAATTGGCTCACAATCAACTGCATGGGTTGCTTTCTTTGGAATGGAATCCACCCCAGCCCTGTGTGTCAAGACAAGTGGTAACTTTCGAAGACTAAGAGAGTAGTGGCTGCTGAGGGGTCCTCAACGTTTTGCCGTTGGGGGAGGGGGCAGGGCGGCCAGTAATTGGCCACGTACTGTCAGAAACCTACATGATTGAAATTTTGATGTCTCCTGAGGTCACCTCAAGAGCGACAGGTTTTCAGCTTATTGTCCACATGCTCGAAAAGTTGGCTCAAAGCCACCATGGCTCAGAGGCACTACTACTATGTACACCCGAAAGGGAGGAAACGAAAAAACGGAACAGATGCGCCGCAGTGGCAAGTGAAGTTCCCACAACTACCAGGCATGCAGAGTGCCCTGGAAGATCTATCAGCTCGCTGCGACTGGCCGACAGAGGAAGCAGCTCTAGCTGAGCTTCTGCGCGTGTGCCGGCATGTCTTGCAGAGGCCTCTCGAACCTCACGATTTTGCTCTGGCGGCTGCCTCGCCAGTGAGCCTTCGAAATGGAAAGCGGGTTCCCGCCTCCTTGGCAAGGGTGGGCTACCACGTTGCTAAGGAGCACAGCGGGCCCGAGAACTTGCTCTTCGCCCCTGCCGGTCAGTTGAGCCCAGCGCTCATTTCTGGCCAGTGCGTCTTGTACCAGCAGTACGAAGGTGTGCGCCTGCTGCCTTGTGGGCGATACTTGGCTGTCGCTGCATCTGGCGCCCCGCCCCTCAGCTTGAAGTACTGCTAGGGAACCTCTCGCATTGAACCGTTCACACACACACACATTGTCCCTGCACGCGCCCGGCCGCCCGCCCGCCCACCCACCCACCCACCCACCCACATACACACATACACACACACACACACACACACGCACACGCACGCCCACACACACAGACACGCAGACACAGACACTGACCGAAGCAAGACGCAGTGAGACACAGACGCAAACGCACCCGCCCACCCGACAACCCACATACACACATATGCATGCACACGCACACATGCAAATATGTACACACGCAAGCGCACACGCAACCCACCCACCCACCACCCCACCCCGCCCCTCCCCACCCCAACCCGCCCCGCCCCACCCTCGCCCAGACACGTACACGCACACACACACAATCGGCTAGCGTTCGTATATATGACATTCACATATAATGCGCACACACACACACTCGCTCTCACACAATCACACACACACACTCGTGCACATGCAGCAACAGACTCAAGTGCCAGTGTGTGCACAGGTACAAACACAATCACATGCAAGCAGACAGACAGAGACAAACACATCCAGACACAGAGACGCACGCACACACAAACACGCGCATGCACACAGACACACACACACACACACAGACACACACACACACAGACACATGCGCACACCTACACACGCCAACGCGCACACACACACAGACACACAGACACACGCACACACACACACACACACACGCACACTCACATGCGCGCATACACACAGATGCACACACACACACACAGAGCACACACACACACCTGCACAGACACAGACACAGACACATAAACACACACATATATATATATATATACATATGTACACACACACATGCACACACACACACACACACCCACGCACGCACGCACGCAGGCAGGCATGCACGCACACACACATGCACACAACACACACACACAAACACACAGAGACACAGAGACACACAGAGACACACAGAGACACAGAGAGACACACCGACACACATGCGCGTGCACACACACACATGCACACACACACACACACACAGACACACACACACACACTCTCTCTCTCTCTCACGCTCTCGCTCTCTCTCTCTCTCTCTCTCTCTCTCTCTCTCTCTCTCTCTCTCTCTCTCTCTCTGTCTGTCTCTCTCTCACGCGCACATGCACACGCACACACCCATGCGCACAAACACACTTGCGCATCCGCTTTCACGCATGCAGGTATCGGTGTCACACATGCATGTCAATGTGCGCAGACTTCACAAAGGGCAGTCGGCTGGTGCTCAGGCTGGAAAGATATGACTCGGAGCAGCAAGCGCTGGCTGCCGCACGCACAGAGCTCGGGACAGAGCCCAAGACACTCAAGGCGAGCGGGTCCCAACGCTCAGTAGTCAAGGGCATGTGGTGCGCGCACTGCAGCCGCTCCCTGACAGGTGCCAGTCAGCGCCATCGTCAAGTATGGGCAGTTGCTCTTCAAAGAGCTGCATAGTCAAGTTGGCTGGGGTTTTCCAGATGATCTTGCAGCCGCCGTCGAAATGGAGGCAAACTACGGGCCAGAGATGGCACGTGAGCCACTCCTTCGCCCCATCCTTTACTGGGGCAAGAGCCACGCATGGATGGAAACTGTTATGAGTCTTTGGGGCTCAGAGCCTCATGTACGAGTCTGGGGACCTGGGGACCCTGGGGACCTAGCGGAGAGAGCTTGGCGTATCGAGAAGCGGCTGCGCAGGGTGCATCACCTTTTGCAGAGGTCTGCTGTGGCGATGGAGTCCGTGGACTTGACAGAGTGGCGGGCCAACACTGCTCAAGGTGGTGTGCTTCGGTTGCTCGGGTTTCAGTCCATGCTTCAGAGCTTGCAAGTTATTCAGAACCATGGCTGAAGTTACATTACACTGTTTATCTGATAGGTACAGAAGGGAACTGCGTCACTTGCGAGCCTCAACTGAGGAAGGCGCCTGCAGGCCACAACCGGCCGCTGAGTTTCCCAAGCTCCAGCTACCACTACTCTCTGAGTGACAGCTTGCCAGGAGCTTTGGAGAGACTGCGTGACCTGATGCGCCTAGCAGACCAGCTGCAGTTTGTCCTTCAGTCTCCGCCCCGAAGCTTGGAGGAGTATGACAAGAAATTCAAATTTTGGAGGGAATCTCTGCCTGCAAAATCCCCATTGCCGCTCAAGGGCGACTACTTTCCGAAATGGATTTTCCGCATGTCAGCGCTTGCATGCATGAGGAGGCCTGAGTTTCAAACTGTGCGTGAGAAGGAGCATTCACAAACACTTCCAGCTTTTCTTGCCCTCAGCCTGCCAGGTGCCACATTGCTTCACTGAGCTCCAGGCCAGGAACTACCTTGCTAGACCTGCAGAGCAGCTTCCCAGACCAAAGCGGCCACTGCGCAGCGCTGGATGCCAGCGCTGAGAAGCTAGCGGCCGCTGCCTGGTTTGCGAAGTTGAACTACGAGGGCCCCTTGGAGCTCTTCACCATGCATATGTGTTTCCTCGGCAACAAGGATGTCTACCGCTATCCCTTCGAATGGCTGAAAAAAAACATGCCCAAGCTTCGTGCAGTTCATGCATCCATGACGCAAGCACATGGCCACATCCCGTCCCTCTCCCGTCTGTTGGCCTGCGTCAGCCAGGGAACCACCTGAGCGAGCAGCCAAAGTGGGGACTTTGGGGACACAGGGGACAGGCAAACGCTTGCTTTTAGCGCATCGCTTTGTTGCTTGAGTGTCGATGCCTGTCAGCTGTGTGAGAAAAAATGCTACACAGTGCAAGTTGAGTCCGCAAGGTCCCCAAAACAAAGTCCCCATTCTTGGAAAATTGCCACATTCTGGGAAAATTCCCCTTAGCAGAGCTTCTTGAGCACGAGTTCATCCATGATGCGAAGAGCTGTCGAATGCGCCATGGCAGGCTGGCTTCGCCTGGGCTTCCCATCCAAAATTGGCGCCAGCCTGGAGGCCAGGCTGCGGCTGCTCATGTCTCCTGCCAGCCATTCTTTGCGTAGAGACCTCAACTGTCGCTTCTCCAAGGCTGTGAAGGATTTTTTCTTCAATCGCTGCTCCACCCGGCTGTGGCACCCACAGCTTTTGAAGGTGCCTTTCTGCGATTTCCGGGCTTTGCCGCTTGCCTTGGCACGAGCGAGGGCTTGCTCTCGCCCCTGGGCCAGGCGGTCCACCACCACATCGCGCTCGAGCTGCTGCACGGCCCCAAGCACGCGCCGGATGAAGGCCTCTGACGGGCTGGGGTTGTGCTTGAACAAGTCAGGCGCATCGTTGGCCACAATTTTGGTGCCGGTCACTTTGCTGATCTCATAGAGCATTTCCTGGATGGTCACATTGCGAGCGACTGCCCTGGATGACTCGCAGAAGATCTTTTCAAACTGTCCTGACTGCAAGGCCCGCAGAAGCTCCCGCTTTTGTAAGTCCCGGGAGCCACTGGCCACTTCCTTGACTACCTTGGCTTTCTTGCCTGCAGGCCCAGCAGCTGCCTTGGCTGCTGCCAGTTGGCGCGCCTGGCTGGCTTGGAGCTGAGGAGCCTTCTTGTGAGAAGAAGTCCGGGCATAGACAGCGCATGCTGCAGCCTTGCGCTTGGCAGGCTTGACCTTGGTGCAGTTCGTGGCGGACGGCATTGCGGGGGGCACAGGATAAACTGCTGGGACTGAGAGTTTGAGCGCGCGGCTGTCAGGTCTCGCCCCTAATTGCAATTTAAAATTGCCAGCTTGCCAGTATGTCTTGAAGATCTGCAATCTTGGCGAACAATAAGTAAGCCCCGCCAACCCGGTCTCCTGCCCTCAGGCTTGCCTGGGCAGTCCAGCTTCCCTAGGCAGAGCCCCAGTTGCGCCATCATATTTTCAGCGTTTCTGTTTGCGCCCGCCCAGGCCCAGGCATCAGCCACAGCAGGAGCTGCAGGGGCAGGCTAGGCCTGAGCGTTCAAACCGAGCAATAATGCTTTTTGCCTCTGACTCTGTCTTAGCCGTCAATGTCATTTTGAGATCCCAGAAACACAGCGGCTGCCCCTGTTCGTCAGATTACAGGTCCCTGCACAAAAATGCTTTCCGACTTGTTCTGCCACATTGTCCATAGACTGGCCCTGTGAACTTGCAGGTTGGATGGCCAGAGCTATCTCCGGCGCAAGCCTCACCTGCTCCAACCTCACTCTTTTCCCTGCCAAGTGTAGCGCCCCGCTGCAGGCGCAGGGGCAACAGTCTCAGTCTCATGAC